CTACCTTTTTTTTTTTGCAGAAATTGACAAGTAAGCTAATCTTAGAATTCATATACATAGTCAAGGGACCTGGAATAGTTATAGCATTCTTTAAAAGGAGTGTAGTTGGAGGACTCACACTCCTCAATTTCAAAACTTACTACAAAGCTACAGTAATCAAGACAGTATGGTCCTGGCATGATGATAGACATAGCGGTCAATGGTATGGAATCGAGAGTGCAGGCATAAATTCCTGCATTTTGTCTTAGTCCAGTTTGTGCTGCTCTAACAGAATACCTGAGATTGGGTAATTTATAAAGAACAGAGATTTATTGCTCACAGTTCTGAAAGCCGGAAGTCCAAGGTCAAGGAGTCCAATCTCGCGAGAGCCCTCTCGCTGCATCATCCATGCAGAAGAATAGGAGGGTGCGCTCACGCCTGAGAGAGACGGGGCAGGGGTGGGGAAAGGGGTTGAGCTTAGCTTTTTATCAGGAACCTGCTGCAATGCTGCAATAGTAAAACCAATCCTGAGACAGCAGCGTGACTCCATTTATGAGGGGCAGAGTCCTCATGATCTTACCACCTTTGTAAAGGTCCTACCTCTCAACACTGTTGCATCGGGAACTAAGTTACCAACACACGAACTTGGGGGCACACATTCAAACCATAACACATTAACAATCATTAATTGCCTTATCACAAGGATGCCAAGACAGTTCAGCTGGGAGAAAGAAGAGTCTTTTCAACAGATGGTACTGGAACAACTGGATAGCCACATGCAGAGAATGACACTGAACCCCTACTTCATTCCATAAGCAAAACATTAATGCCAAATCCATCAAAGACCTAAATACAGGAGCTAAAACTATACAACTCTTAGAGGAAAGTGTAGGTGTAAGTCTTTAATACCTTGAAATTAGGCAGAGACTTCTTAGAGATGACGCCTAAAGCACAAGCATCAAAAGAAAAAATAAACTGAACTTCATCAAAATTTAAAACTTTATGCTTCAAAGAACACTATCAAGAAGTGAAAACATAACCCACAGAATGGGGAAAAGTATTTGTAAATCAAATACTGGTAAGGGTCTAGGATCCAGAATATATAAATAACTCTTACAACGCAACCATAAAAAGATGACCCATTTTTTTTTTTCTTTTTTTTTTGGAGACTTGTCTGACTCTGTTGCCCAGGCTGGAGTGCAGTGGCGTGATCTCGGCTCACTGCAAGCCCCGCCTCCTGGGTTCACGCCATTCTCCTGCCTCAGCCTCCTAAGTAGCTGGGACTACAGGCGCCTGCCACCATGCCCAGCTAATTTTTTTTGTATTTTTAGTAGAGGCAGGGTCTCACCGTGTTAGCCAAGATGGTCTCCATCTCCTGACCTCGTGATCCGCCCGCCTCAGCCTCCCAAAGTGCTGGGATTACAGGTGTAAGCCACCGCGCCTGGCCCAATTTATTAAAATCAGAAAGTAAATGTAATTTTCAACACAGAAAAACAAGCATATTTCTGCCCAATCCACCCTCCATCCCTCTCCACCAGTGGTCTTTCCCATCAGAATTTCCTCTGCCTAAAATTTGAAAAAGCAAGGCACTGAGTCATTTGGTATATTTGCCCTGGTAACTACTTATTCTGAAAAACAATGAATGTTCCTTAATGTAAGCCCCAGAAGTCTCAGTTCTGCATCAGGCTGGTAGTTCTATACCTCGCCTTGCCATACTTCAGGTCACCTTAGCTTACCTCCCTCTCTCTCGTGGATATTAGAAGCACTGCTTTTCCTTTGTGTGGGAATAAATAACTATTAATATAAAAATTTTCTATGATACTGAAAATGGGAACACTATTTGGTGTTAATCATTAAATGGTCTTAATGGAATCAACCTGCTATTTAGTTTCAGAAAAATTGAGACCTTTGGAGGGGAAATAAGACTGTTAAAATATTGTCTTTGTCTTCAGAGAACATTTTGTCTTGATTTCTGTTGTGTCCAGTGCCTGGAACAATGCAGATTTGTGGGGCAAATGAGTGAATGAACAAACTTCTTTTCTTTCTTTTTTCTTTGTTTTTTTTTTTTTTTTTTTTTTTGGAGACAGAGTCTTGCTCTGTCATGAGGCTGGAGTGCAGTGGCACGATCTTGGCTCACTGCAAACCTTTGCCTCTTGGGTTCAAGTGATTCTCCTGCCTCAGCCTCCTGAGTAGCTGGGACTTACAGGCACGTGCCATCATGCCCAGCTAATTTTTTTTTTTTTGTATTCTTAGTAGAGATAGGGTTTCCCCACGTTGGCCAGGATGGTCTCGATCTCTTAACCTCGTGATCTGCCAGCCTCAGTCTCCCAAAGTACTGGCATTACAGGCGTGAGCCACAGTGCCTGGCCCAAACTTCTTTTCTTAAATAGGAAAATGAACAGACCCATCTTATTCTTATGACAGCCTTGCTGCATAGAAAGAAAGGACTGGAGAGTCCAGCAGGGTGTGTGTGGTTCAGTCTCAGCTCTCCGCTTGGTGATGTGGGCGCACCGGAGAGGGACTTTCCAAGTCTCTCCTCATCTATCAGGGTGGTTGTTGTGGGGCTAAATGAGACGATATATGTGTGTGTGTGTGTGTGTGTATTTTTTTTGAGGTGGAGTTTCATTCTTGTTACCCAGGCTGGAGTGCAGTGGCGTGATCTTGGCTCACTGCAACCTCTGCCTCCTGGGTTCAAGTGATTCCCCTGCCTCAGCCTCCTGAGTAGCTGAGATTACAGGCGCCTGCCACCACGCCCAGCTAATTTTTGTATTTTTAGTAGAGACAGCGTTCATCATGTCGGTCAGGCTGGTCTCGAACTCCTGACCTCAGGTGATCCACCCTCCTCGGCCTCCCAAAGTAGTGGGATTACAGGTATGAGCCACCACGCCCGCCCGAGACCATAGATATTTAAATGCCTCAAATGTATCAGATAGTTTAAATGGCAGCTACTAATCATGATTAATTGTGATAACTGTTGATTTTTTTAAACGTGAGTTTTCTCATTGTTTACTATCTTTCAACTTACGTTAGGAAATAACTGATTTATAAACACATATTTCCTCTGGTCGCTTGGCCCTATCACAGAAGTCAGTCTAGAATGCATTTCTTGTTTCGGTTACAAATTAGGCGCACAATTGAGCATGACGTGGGTAGTTTTTCACTGAATCTGGACCGTGGTTTTGTCATGTGTTTCCTTTTTCCAGAATTCTCTGGATGAGGGTTAAAGAGAGTGGGGCCTGGGCACGTGGAACACTGTGAGTGGGAATGTAGAGCGGTGGAGCCGTTTTGGAAGGCAGTTTCACAATAAATATGAATGTTTAAAATGCTTGCATCTTTTTGAGCTGGTGATTCTGTTTTTAGGAATCTATCCTATAGAAAAATACACGTGTATAGACACATTCATGGTGGTGCTGTTTGTGTGGGAAAATTGGCAACTAGGATGTAACTGGGGACAGATAAACTCATACACCGGAAGACTGTGCAGTCACTCAAGAAAATGGGGTAGCTCCTGTAAACGTCAGCACATACTTTAAACCCTGGACCCAGGTTGGGCACAGTGGCACATGCCTGTAATCCTGGCACTTTTGTAGGCCGAGGTGGGCAGATCGATTAAGCTCAGGAGTTCGAGACCAGCCTAGGCAACATGGCTGTCCAAAAAATACAAACATTAGCCAGGTACAGCTGGGCACAGTGGCTCACACCTATAATCCCAGCACTTTGGAAGGCTAAGGCCTTCCAAAGGATCACTTGAGATCAGCAGTTCAAAATTAACCAGGCGTTGTGGCGGGCACCTGTAATCCCAGCTGCTCAGGAGGCTGAGGCAGGAGAATCGCTTGAACCCGGGAGGCGGAGCTTGCAGTGAGCCAAGATTGTGCCACTGCACTCCAGCCTGGGCCACAGAACAAGACTCCATCTCAAAAAAATTAGCCATGCCGGGCGTGGTGGCTCAAGCCTGTAATCCCAGCACTTTGGGAGGCCGAGACGGGCGGATCACAAGGTCAGGAGATCGAGACCATCCTGGCTAACACGTTGAAACCCCGTCTCTACTAAAAAATTACAAAAAACTAGCCGGGCGAGGTGGCGGGCGCCTGTAGTCCCAGCTACTCTGGAGGCTGAGGCAGGAGAATGGCGTAAATCGGGGAGGCGGAGCTTGCAGTGAGCTGAGATCCGGCCACTGCACTCCAGCCTGGGCGACAGAGCAAGACTCTGTCTCCAAAAAAAAAAAAAAAAAAAAAAATTAGCCAGATGTGGTGGCATGCGCCAGTAGTCCCAGCTACTTGGAAGGTGGAGGTGGGAGGATTGCATGAGCCCAGGAAGTCCTTTTTTTAAAAGGCTGAATAATATTCTGCTCTACGTATATACTACATTTTATTTATCCATTCATCCACAGACACCTGCGTTGTTTCCACTTTGGGCTACGATGAATTATGCTGCAATGAACATGGGTGTGCAGATACCTCTTTGAGACCCTGCTTTCCATTCTGTGTGTGTGTGTGTTTTGTTTTGTTTTATTTGGAGATGGAGTTTTGCTCTTGTTGCCCAGGCTGGAGTGCAGTGGCACGATCTCAGCTCACTGCAACCTCCGCCTCCCAGGTTCAAGCATTCTCCTGCCTTAGCCTCCTGAGTAGCTGGGATTACAGGCATCTGCCCCCACGCCTGGCTAATACTTTGTACTTTTACTAGAGATGGAGTTTCACCATGTTGGCCAGGCTGGTCTCAAACTCCTGACTTCGGGTGATCCATCCACCCACCTTGGCCTCCCCAAGTGCTGGGATTACAGGTGTGAGCCATTGTGTCAGGCCCTCTGTCCTGTGTGTGTTTTGATGTGCATCAGAGAAGATCTAAAGAGGCAGACAATAGCAGAACACTGGAGAGTGGGACTAGCGTGGAGGGGCAGGTGGCACTTTGACTTACATTTTATACACTTTGTGTTTCATTTTTTTACAATAGGCATTAGGTTCTGTTTACTAGTAAGTTATGAAATCACTAATGGTTATGTATTTGGTTTGTACTATATTAAGTTGGCAGCCCCTTTACCAGAAATACCTCCAGATGTTGTGAGAGAATGTAGATTGGGACTGAAGGAGGAGAACCCTTCCAAAAAAGTCTTTGAGGAATGTGCTAGGTAAGTGGTTCATGCCGAGCCCTGCATATATTGTCTGTGACTAACCCCGAGACAGACAGCTTACAAGAGGTTTCTCTGCATAAAACAAGTTCTTGGAGTGTAGTTGACCCTTGAGCAACATGGGCATTAGGGACGCTAATACCACCCAACCCTCTGCGCAGTTGAAAATATGTGTATAACTTTTGACTGTCCCCAAAGCTTAACTATTATTAGCCTACTGTTGACCAGAGGCCTTACTGATAACATAAACAGCGATGAACACATATTTTATATGGTATGTGTATTATGTGCTATACTTTTACAATAAAGTATGCTAGAAAAAAGAAAGTGTTATTAAGATAATCATAAGGAAGAGAAAATATAATTCCTATTCACAAAGTAGAAATAGATCTTCATAAAGGTCTTCATCCTCGTCATCTTCACATTGAGGAGGCTGAGGAGGAGGAGGAAGAGGAGGGGCTGGTCCTGCTGTCTCAGGGGTGGCAGGAATGGAAGAAAATACATGCATAAGTGGCTCCTGGCATCTCGACTCGAATTGTCCAAGGGTCAACTGTACTTTACCCATTAAAATGATTACTTTCTCTAGAAAGAGGTGAATGAAGAGTAATAATTCCGTGTACACATGAGGCACACTGAAAGGGGTCCCATCGTTTAGCGCCAGTATCCTAGCATCCTAGGGGAGTGGTACACCTAAGCCTGTGCAGCCAGAGCATGGTGGGGCTGGGGCTGGAACCCGTGATGCTTTAATGATGAGACTGCCTTGAAAATAACAAACAGGCCAGGCTCGGTGGCTCATGCCTGTAATCCCAGCATGTTGGGAGGCTGAGGCAGGCAGATCGCTTGAGGCCAGGAGTTCAAGACCAGCCTGGTCAACATAGAGAAGCCCCATCTCTACAAAAAAATACAAAATTTAGCCGGGCATGGTGGTGTGTGCCTGTAATCCCAGCTACTCAGGAGGCTGAGGCACGAGAATCACCTGAACCTGGGAAGCAGAGGCAGCAGTGAGCTGAGATCACACCCTGGGCAACACAGTGGGACTCTGTCTCAAAAATAAATAAATAAATAAATAAATAAATAAATAAATAAATAAATAAATGCACTCCAGCCTGGGCAACACAGTGAGACTCTGTCTCAAAAATAAATAAATAAATAAATAAATAAATAAATAAATAAATAAAATAAAAAACAAGGCTTTCTCTGTCTATCTGTCTTTCTCTTGAGGTGTTGGTACTCTGCACACTGAGGAGCTGGGTTAGATACTTATCCCTTTAGTGAGAATTCAGTGGCCAATTGTACATCCCACAGATAAATGGCATGCATCCCATCTTTCTCCTAGCCAGGTGTATGGCACTGGACTAGAACCCTTCCCTCTGTCCCTCAGCCCCCTCCTCTGAAAATGGATGAGAGTAAATGGATTAGAGTAAATGTAAATATTTTCAATTTCAAGTCATCTTTTACTTATTCTTGTTGGATATTCACATTAATGGTATTCTAGTGTTTGTGATTTGAACTGTTTTGCAAGAAGATGTTGTCTCTGGCTGGGCACCATGGCTCATGCCTATAATCCCAGCACTTTGGGAGGCCAAGGCAGAAAGATTGTGTGACCTCAGGAGTTCGAGACCAGCCTAGGCAACATGGTGAAACCCTGTCTCTAATACAAAAATTAGCCAGGCATAGTGGTGCATGCCTATAGTCCCAGCTATTCAGAAGGCTTGAGGTGAGAGGATCAATTGAGCCTGGGAGGTCAAGGCTGCAGTGACTGTGACCTCACCACTACCTTCCAGCCTGGGTGACAGAGCCAGACCAAAAAAAAGAAAAGATGGCTTCATGGCTCCATTTGATTGCTTCTCTGGTATAGCAGACAGGACAGGCTTGGTCTGTGCTCTCTGATACTGATCCTGGGACATTGTGGTAAGAATCAGATTTCTTCCTGTCTTCATCTGGGATGTCACAGAAGCCAGGAAGGGCCAATCTTTCATTCCACACTTTTATTCTTCACATCCCTCTTCTGGGCATGTACACACCCTAAACTCTTTCTTGTACATGTACACTAAGAGACATGTAATAGTAATAACACAACAATAATAAAGCTAGGCTTCATGGCTCACACCTGTAGTGCCAGTGCTTTGGGGGGGCTGAGGAGGGAGGATTGCTTGAGGCCAGGAGTTCAAGGCCGCAGTGAGCCATGATTGTGCCATTGCACTCTGGCCTGGGCAACAGAGTGAGACCCTGTCTCTAAACACCACCAACAACAAAAAATAACAAAACAATAATAAATGTTTGAAAGTATTAATGCGTTTACCTGCTCACAGTAACCCTATGAAGTAGGCATGATTATTATTTCTGTTTTACAGAAGGAGAAACTGAGGCCATAGAGGTTGGGTAAGTTGGCTCAGGTCCCTCAGCCAGTGAGTGGCTGAAGCAGGACGTGCAGCAGCCCATGGCTTTGACTTCTGTGCTGTCCTCCAGGGGACCCTTCCACTGTGCCTTGCACATGGGAAGCGTGCTGCTTGACAACAGAACAACTGACGCCCTCACTCCCAAGAAGGGAATGCATCCTTCTATTTCACTGCTCTTTTCATTCATTCTTTTCACTTCTATTTTCACTTACAGCGTTAGAACCTAATGTGGACTTTTATAATTGCAAATTCAAACTATTGAATTGTGTGTAATGATTGCCTTTCCCATAGTCAGTGCCTATTAATGCACTAAAACATACTTGTTTTTACTTCTTAATACAGCAAATGTATATAATTTTGTAAAATCTTTTTCTAGAGTTACCCATAACTACTTAAGAGGGGAACCATTTGAAGAATACCAAGAAAGCTCATATTTTTCTCAGTTTTTACAATGGAAATGGCTGGAAAGGTATGTTCTAATTTTAAACTCAATAAAAGCCAGTTGAAGTGGCACACGCCTGTAGCCCCAGCTACTCAGGAGGCTGAGGCTGGAGGATTGCTTAAGCCCGAGACTTGAAGGCTATAGTATGAGATGATCATTCCTGTGAATAACCACTGCACTCCAATCTGGGCAATGTAGCAAGACCCCATCTCTAAAAAAGAAAAAAAGAAAAGAGACCTCAATAAAACAAGTGTTAATTTCTCACGATACATACTGATTGACATAGACTTTTCCATCTGTCAAAATACAATTAGAAATTTTGAGTTGTATATGATATTTTTATACAGAAATTTTCATAAGTATTACTATTGTACAATTTCTTCTAATTTAATAGACTCTGTTCTCTCTTTTTAAAATGGCAGGTATCCCTGTTGTTTCAGTGACTAGAAAATAAAACTTAGCTTAGATTTTTGGTGATAGAATAGGATGCAGTGTGTGGCACCTGGCAGTTAAAACCTGCTCAGCCTCTTACTGTTTATGTGGCCTCAGGTAAGTGGCTTAGCCTGTATGAGTGGCAGGTCCTTGTTCTGTAAATTAGAGGTAATTATAGAATCTGCCTCCTTGCACCATTGCTAGGATCACCTGGGAAATGTGTGTACAACGCTTATAGCACAATGTTTGGTGCACAAAATAAGTACTTAAAAAGTGTTAGCTGCGGGCCGGGTGCAGTGGCTCACGCCTGTAATCCTAGCACTTTGAGAGGCCAAGGCGGGTGGATCACCTGAGGTCAGGAGTTCGAGACCAGCCTGGCCAAAATAGTGAAACCCGTCTCTACTAGAACTACAAAAATTAGCCAGGCGTGGTGGCGTGCACCTGTACTCCCAGCTACTTGGGAGGCTGAGGCAGGAGAAATTGCTTGAACTCGGGAGGTGGAGGCTTGTGGTGAGCTGAGGTGGCTCCACTGCACTCCAGCCTGGGTGACAGAGTGAGACTCTGTCTCAAAAAAAAAAAAAAAAAAAAAAGGGTTAGCTGCTACTAGTGTTATTATTAGTACTATTATTATTGATCAATTGAATTTCCAGTTCTTGTTTATATATGCTGTTTTTGAGGCATTGGGTATAAACATCTTTGAGGTTCTTTTTTCAAAGGATGGCACAATGTATATATGTCATCTTCCTCACCTGCTTTCTGACAGGTTGAGAGGGGTCTACCCAAGTCTACACCGGCAGTTATGAACATACACATTTCCTAGTGTCAGCTGGTTTCAGACCTGTCTTCAGTTAGTAAGGATAATTGGACTGTTCTGCCTTTTGCTTCAGTGTCTTAAATGTTAATTAAGATTAATTGGCTGGGTGGTGGCTCACACCTATAATCCCAGCACTTTGGGAGGCTGAGGCAGGCGAATCACAAGGTCAGGAGTTTGCCAGTTTCACCTGGCAAACATGGTGAAACCCCGTCTCTACTAAAAATACAAAAAATTAGCTGGATGTGGTGGCAGGTGCCTGTAATCCCAGCTACTCGGGAGGATGAGGCAGGAAAATTGCTTCAACCCAGGAGGCGGGGAGGTTGCAGTGAGCTGAGATCGTGCCACTGTACTCCAGCCCTGGCGACAGAGTGAGACTCCATCTCAAAAAGAAAAAAAAAAAAAAAAAGGATGAATTAATTGCTCTTAGAGCAAGTCAAGAGCTGTCCTGCTAGAGGGAGCCACAGTCCCTGAGCACAGACACCCTTTGTCCTGGGCATCCCCTTTGAGCAGAATGGTTCAATAAATGAGGCGAAGACAAGCGCTGATTTGTCTTTTCTGTTTTAAAAGAACAATGCAATGTGGACCTGAAACTTATTTTTCTCATTGATTAGGCAACCCGTAACCAAGAACACATTTAGACATTACAGAGTTCTAGGAAAAGGCGGATTTGGAGAGGTGAGTAATGGGAGCCAGTTCAGAGCAGCGCCGCTAGCTGGGTGGGCAGCAAGGTCCTGAGAACACGGCTTCAGGTAACACATCAACTCTCCCAGTACACTGTTGCCTTAGTGGGCGTTTTGGGAATCATCTTAGCCGACTGTGAGAATCCACATGGAATTTTGAGCAAAAGGTTTTGAAGAATCCCTTCTCTTGGTGACTTCACATTTTACCTCATAGTTCTGAAGAAGCTGGTTTCCATGCTTCATGCCCCAGCTCAGTCACTTTGCCCAGATGGAAAGATGATTCTGCTCCTGTATTGTGGAATTTCCATGATTCTATTTCCGTAAATTTTTTTTTTTTTTTTTTTTTGAGACGGAGTCTTGCTCTGTCGCCCAGGCTGGAGTGCAGTGGCCGGATCTCAGCTCACTGCAAGCTCCGCCTCCCGGGTTTACGCCAGTCTCCTGCCTCAGCCTCCCGAGTAGCTGGGACTACAGGCGCCCGCCATCTCACCCGGCTAGTTTTTTTGTATTTTTTAGTAGAGACGGGGTTTCACCGTGTTAGCCAGGATGGTCTCGATCTCCTGACCTCGTGATCCGCCCGTCTCGGCCTCCCAAAGTGCTGGGATTACAGGCTTGAGCCACCGCGCCCGGCAATTTCCGTAAATTTAAGACTGACCCCAAATTCACATAGTACAGAGTGAATTATTAAATATACTTACGTAACCCTGCTCTGTTTGGACATGTATGTACCTCATACCTACATCAAAAGGTGTTTGGAAATGTGTCAATTTGGGAAAATCCTAAGGAAATGACTCACAGACTCACGAGGGATTTTTTGTTTGTTTGTCTGTCTGTTTGTTTGTTTTGAGATGGAGTTTTGCTCTTCTTACCCAGGCTGGAGTGCAATGGCGTGATCTCAGCTCACCACAACCTCCGCCTCCTGGGTTCAACCGATTCTCCTGCCTCAGCCTCCCGAGTCGCTGGGATTGCAGGCATGCGCCACCACACCTGGCTAATTTTTGTATTTTTAGTAGAGGAGGGTTTCTCCATGTTGGTCAGGCTGGTCTTGAACTCCCGACCTCAGGTGATCCGCCCTCCTCAGCCTCCCAAAGTGCTGGGATTACAGGCGTGAGCCACTGCGCCCGGCCTGGGGTGTTGTTTAAATATGATGGGTCTCCTAGATGGACACCACTGTAGTTGGCGGATGGAGAGCAGCAGCAGTTCTGGTCTGGGGAATTTAAAAGAATGTTAATTACCTTATTAGTTACCTGGAGTGATCATATGGAGTTCAAGAACTTACAAGCCCCTAAGAGCCAGGCAAGCCATTGCCAAACTAACACTGTATGTTTAACTCAGAAGCAGGTTACACTGCCTGGGTGTGACTCTCATATTATTGCTCGTATATTACATTCAAAGCAAAAGCCACTAGTATTGGCTTGAAGTTGATTAGAAAGCTGACCTACTAGGAGGCAGCACACTGCGACCGAGATCTGTTATGCACCTGCAGCTTGACATGACAAGAAATTGGCCAACATAGTCATGACTTCAGTAACAGTACTGTCCCTCTGCTACAGTTCCAGAGACCATGAAGAATATTTTGCCTAATCCAGTCAAATGTTTGCTCTAGTCCCTCCATGACAGGTATTTCTGTAAGAAATCCGCCCTCTGTTTGAGTATGTCCTGGAACAGGAGAGTCATTTTCTCACTTCGAGTCTTGCTAATCTGCCTCTAATGATCTGCAAAAGTAAAGGCTCAGATTTTGTGAAAGAGCAGAGGAAACATTTCTGGAACGTAGGTCATGTGTTTACAAAGGAATGAAAGTCTAATTATAGCCACATGTCAGTTTATAAAACATGTCAGTCCTGATAGGATTCAACAGGGACATGTTAGCAAATTTTAGCTATTGTGAAAGACCTGGCGCTGAGTGCGGTGGCTCACGCCTGTAATCCTAGCACTTTGGGAGGCCAAGGTGGGCGGGTCGCTTGAGCCAGAAGTTCCAGATCAGCCTAGGCAACATGGCAAGACCCCCTCTCTATTTAAATATTTAATATAAATAAATACATAAAAAAGAAGACAAGAAAGACTTAGTATAATTATGATTGTATAGATTACTTTTTAACAGATTTACTTGGGTTCCCAAACAAATGACCGGCTGCACGAATCAAGCGTGGCAGTTTTCAGCAGACTTGCTCTGGAGGTGGTGTGCTCTCCGTCTAGGCCCAGAGGCAGTGAGCAGTCAGCCCGCCCCTACTCTGAATGCCTGTCGGAAGGAGCCCTGCTCGCCCTAATGCGGGGACAGACTCGGTGCCCTTTAATCCAGATTCTAATCGTGCATTTGCTTTTTCCAAGTGCTAGCACTTCCTCTAGTGGTCTTGAGAGAGCAAACGTAGTTGGTTTTATTTTGTCAACAGTAATTCTTTTGCTTATGCTTGAAGTCCTCCGAAATTAATTTGTAGGGTCCTGAGTGAGCACAATGGTAAGGGAATTGAGTAGACATCTCTGCTGTCATGGTTTTAGGCCGCAGACTGTAGTGGAAGGAGCACGTACTCAGACGTGGACAGACCCGAGGTCAGGGTCCTGTCGTGTCACTTCCAGCAGTGTGATCTTGGGCCCGCCATGGCGATCTCATCTCTAGCAGGGAAATAATCGGCCCTGCCCGCCAGGCTGCTGTAAGCCAGTGAGTGTTCACCCCCAGCTGTTAGCACAGTGCCTGACACTCTTGTCTGCTTTCCATTCCCTGTCTCTGATTTGCCAATTCCACTTAGAATAATTTTTAAAAAATTAACGATAAAGAGAGATGAAGAGATTTTTATGCCAAGTCTTAATAGTAAGAAAATGATTAAATACATTTTGCGATAGTCACATTTTAGGAAAACATTTCATGATAGGAAAATAGTCACACAATAAGATTTTTTAAAAGGAGGTTAAGAAATATTACCTATTTTACAATATGAGACCAGTTTTGCCATCAAAGGCTGGGGTGGTGGGGAACGGGGTATGTATTCTTGCATACCCATGTAAGAAGGTGGACCTAGAATCAAATAGAACAAAATATTAACAGTGATTATCTTGGAATTGCAGGTGAGTTTTTAATCACTGTTCTTCTTACTTCCAATATTTTCCACAATTAACTTTGTATTTCTTTTACCACCAAAATTGTTTTATTGGTAGATAAAATTATATCATATCTTATGTTTGCTTTTAAAGCAGTCCCCTGTGGGGTGTGCAATGGATGGGAGTTGGAAGAAACAGTAGCCTAATGTTGATGACACAGCAGCACGGGGACCAGAACCTGAGGCTCATGATACTATTTTTTCCACTTTTGTATGTTGGAAATTTTTCATGACATAAAGTTAAAATAATACATAAATACTACTTTAAGAAGTAATAGAATAAAGGTATGAAAATTATGAATTATATGAAATATATTTCCTTATACTCTTGACTTTTTAAATTAAAAATTCAAGAATCTTTTTAGGCCAGGCACAGTGGTTCACACCTGTTAATCCCAGCACTTTGGGAGGCCAAAGTGAGCGGATCACCTGAGGTCAGGAGTTCAAGACCAGCCTGGCCAACATGGCGTCTCTACTAAAAATACAAGAAAAATTAGCCAGGCATGGTGGCGGGCACCTGTAATCCCCGCTACTCCAGAGGCTGAGGCAGGAGAATCCTGAGACGGAGTCTCACTCTGTCACCCAGGCTGGAGTGCAGTGGCGCAATCTCGGCTCACTGCATCCTCTGCCTCCCAGGTTCTAGCGATTCTTCTGCCTCAGCCTCCGGAGTAGCTGGGATTACAGGCACCCACCACCATGGCTGGTGAATTTTTTTTTTTTTTTTTTTTTGTATTTTTAGTAGAGACGAGGTTTCGCCATGTTGGCCAGGTTGGTTTCGAACTCCTGACCTCAGGTGATCTGCCTACCTTGGCCTCCCAAAGTGCTGGGATTATAGGCATAAACCACCATGCCCAGCTGAAAAAAGAATCTTTTTAGTTTTACCTTTTAAAATTTTTGCAGTTTTACAAAAAGTAAAATAGACATGGGAACATTTAAAAATTAAACAGATGTACCATGATCACCTACGCCAACTAGTGCCGTTTGTACACTGTCTTAGAGTTGATAGAACGCAGCGTGTCCCTGAGAGGAGGAGCCGACTCACACTGACAACGCCCACCTTTGAAACGGTCTCCTCATGCGCTGCTGCTGGTCTCTGCCAGTGAGGGTCTCATCAAGCCAAAGGTTTCCTTTGTGTGGCCTAAGAAATGTCAGGTGGACATAAACCTCCTTTACTTTGCTGTTTAAACTAGGTTTGTGCCTGTCAAGTGCGAGCCACAGGAAAAATGTATGCCTGTAAAAAGCTACAAAAAAAAAGAATAAAGAAGAGGAAAGGTGAAGCTATGGCTCTAAATGAAAAAAGAATTCTGGAGAAAGTGCAAAGTAGATTCGTAGTAAGTGTCTCCTCTTAGTCTTCACTGTGCCTTGGGTGATTCGTAGCAGTTATGTCAGCCGACATGCCGCTCAGCTCACTCTCATTGAAGCTGTGGAAGTCATTTCTTGTTTTCTGAGTTTATGTGGGGTTTTGCTCTTTTTACTAACAGTTTTGTTTTTAGTAACAGCTCTCTTCTTTCTTACTCACACCGTAGAAAACATGAAAGTAGTGATACTGCTTCTAACTTCTGGTTTGTTATAAATCTGTAGTCCCCCGCCTCCCATTCTGTCCCTCTTGACACCTGCCAGCTTGCGGAGCTCGTCCAGGTCCATTAGTTACCTTGTGTTTCTTGGTGAATTTCCCTTATCACAGCCAGCCAGAGCTTATCTCTGTTTGCTGTCAGTCTCCAGTCAAGTTTCTCTGGCCCCCGGGACACTGGCCTGGCTGTGCCTGAGGAGACCTTCTCTGTCTCTTTTTTCTCTGACACAAGGCCTCGCTCTGTGGTCCAGGCTGGAGTGCAATGGCACGATCTTGGGTCACTGCAGCCTTGACCTCCCAGGCCCAAGTGATCCTCCCACCTCAGCTTCCCAAGCAGCTGGGAGCACAGGCACACTCCACCATGCCCAGCTAGGTTTTCATTTTTTTATTTTTATTCTTATTTTTAGAGATGAGATCTCTGGCCAGGCATGGTGGCTCACACCTGTAATCCCACTACTTAGGGAGGCCGAGGAGGGTGGATCACCTGAGGTCAGGAGTTTGAGACCAGCCTGACCAACGTGGTAAAATCCCGTCTCTACTAAAAACACAAAAAGAATTAGCTGGGCCTGGTGGCACGTGCTTGTCGGGATGCTGAGGCAGGAGAATTGCTTGAACCTGGGAGGCGGAGGTTGCAGTGAGCTGAGACTGCACCACTGCACTCCAGCCTGGGCAACAGAGCGAGACTCTGTCTCAAAAAAAAAAAAAAAGAGAGGGAGAGATGAGATCTCCTTGTGTTGCTCAGGCTGGTCTTGAACTCCTGGACTCAAGTGATCCACCTGCCTCAGCTTCCCAAAGTGTTGGGATTACAGGCGTGAGCCACCATGTCTGGCTGAGGATACACGATCTCTAGCCCCTCTTCTCATGTGGGCCTCCTCCCTCTGGCCTCAATCTGTTTTGCGTCTTTTCCTTTTTCTGGGAAGTTTACCGCTAGGCCCTCAACTAGTGTATCCCAATTGTATGAAGCCCAAATCCCACCTTCCCACCTTTCTGGGAAGGACAGAACATTGGGTGGACTGCTATGAGTTCAGGGAAGCAGTTCCAGGCTTTACAGTGTGCATGGTATAGTGTGGTTCTCATCTCCAAACCCAGTTTCTCTCTACCTAGTTATGTATGTCCTGTAGCAGCTACTGAAGTATGAAGACTGGTTGAAGGGAGAGTGCGAACGAGAATTTATAAAATGATTTGTCATGTTAGAGCTATTTCCTCCAAGCCATTTATTTCTTAGCCCTGAGGTCAGCTGCTTTGTGCAGGGAACAGATGTTCCCAAACAGTGTACCTTCACAGCCAGCACCTGAATTTAATAGCACAGTGTGTATATGATATGTCACTGTCATCTGCAATTACATGAAAATCTTTAATACAGTGGGCTTATCTGGGAGTTGCTTTAAACATATTTTTTGGCTGGGCTTGGTGGCTCATGCCTGTCATTTCAGCACTTTGGGAGGCCAAGGTAGGAGGATCACTTGAACCCAGGAGTTTGAAACCAGCCTGGGCAACATAGGGAGACCCCATCTCTACAAATTTTTTTTTTTTTTTTTTTTTTTTTTTGAGACAGAGTCTCGCACTGTCTCCCGGGCTGGAGTGCAGTGGCGCGATCTTGGCTCACTGCAACATCCGGCTCCCAGATTCAAGTGATTCTCCTGCCTCAGCCTCCTAAGTAGCTGGGATTACAGGCGCCCACCACTACACCCAGCTAATTTTTTGTATTATTAGTAGAGACTGGGTTTCACTTTGTTAGCCAGGTTGGTCTCAAACTGCTGACCTTGTGATCCGCCTGCCTTGGCCTCCCAAAATCCTAGGGATTACAGGCGTGAGCCACCGAGCCTGGCCTCTACAAAAAATTTTTTTCAAAAAGGCCAGGCACTGTGGCTCACGTCCTGTAATCCCAGCACTTTGGGAGGCCGAGGTCTGCAGATCACCTGAGGTGAGGAGTTTGAGACCAGCCTGGCCAACATGGTGAAACCCTGTCTCTAATAAAATACAAAAATTAGCTGGGTGTGGTGGTGGGTGCGTGTAATCCCAGCTACTTAGGAGGCTGAGACAGGAGAATTGCTTGAACTCAGAAGGCAGAGGTTGCAGTGAGCCCAGATCGCGCCATTGTACTCCAGCCTGGGTGACAGAGTGAGACTCCATCTCCAAAAAAAAAAAAAAAAAAAAAAAAAAATTAGCCATGGTGGTGTGTGACTGTAGTCCCAGCTACTCAGAAGGCTGTGGTGGGAGGATCGCTTGAACCCAGGCGGTCCGGGCTGCAGTGAGCCATTATTGCCCACTGCACTCCATCCTGGTGACAGAGTGAGATCCCATCTCAAAAACAAAACAAAGCAAAAAAAAAAAAAAAAAAAAAAAAAAAATCCCTGTGTAACTACCTTGGAACATAGAAATCCACAGTCTAGCTTTATGAAAAGAACAGATGCAGTTGTTACAGTTTCTTTTGCTTAAGTGCTTTGATTTCTGTATTGTCGGCCTCTCCCAAGGAACCTAGAGGCATTTTTCTGCTTCCATATTGGTGTTTTCTCCCTGCTTACAGCGGCACGTTCATCCCTGCTGCGCCCTGACCCATGGCAGTACACCTCTCCCTGGAGCCCCCTGCCCCTGCCTGCACCCTCGCCCCCCACAGTCAGTTCTCCACGGACCAGTGCAAGGCAGTCTGTGGAAAAGTTAAATTAGTCATCCACTTTCCAGATTAAAAACTCCAGTGGCCACCTGTCACTCTGAGAATAAAATGAGACTCAGCTCTGGCCTTTCAGGCACTGAGGGACCTAGCTCCTGCCGCCTCTGCCACATGAGGCCAGGCGCCTGACCGCGCTCTGCCTGGAGCATCGCTGCCTTTCCCTGTCGCCCTTGGTCTCACTCCCCATAGGCAGTCTGCGAGTCATCCGTCACTCTGTCGGATGGTTTCTTTGCATTGGTTCATCTGTCATCTATGACTGCCCAGGCCTCCTCCACCACGATATTAGGACAGAGCTCCTCAGGGCCATGCTCACCACTGCGTTCCCGCTGCCTACAACAAGGCTGGCGTGGTAAAAGATTCTCAATATTATTTTAATATATATTGAGCAGATGTTGAATGAATATTCACAAGAGGAGAGGAAGTAAGGGATCCTTACTAATTCAAGGACCAGTGATAATTCCTTGTGGTTTAATCTGTGGTCTATTGCATGTCAGCTGGGGCCTCCTCTCCTCTACCTCTCTTACTGTTTTAACACATTGTGACCAAGTTGGATTTATTCCAGGAATGAAAATCGAATAATGTAATTTATCATATTACCAGAATCAAGGGAAGAACCGTATGGTCATCTCAGTGGTTGCAGGAAGAGCTTTGGATAGGAGCTAATGCCCAGGCATGCTTAAAAACCCGAAGCAAACCAGGTACAGAAAGGAATTTCCTTCAGAAAATCTCTGGCACAATCATACTTAATATGAAAATATTAAAAGCTTTTCTCCATGAGATCTGGAATAAGGCTAGATACCTGCTGACCATTTCAATTCAACATGATATTGGAAATTCTGGCCAGTGCAATAAGGTAAAGGAAAAAGTGAAAGGGATTAAGTTTAGAGAAAAGAAGAAAAAAGGTTGAAAAAAAACCCTCATCATTTTCTTTTTCTTTTTTTAAATTTTTATTTATTTATTTATTTTTAGATAGAGATGGGGGGTCTCACTATATTGCCCAGGCTGGTCTGGAACTCCTAGGATCAAGTGATCCTCCCACCTAGGCCTCCCAAAGTGCTGGGATTATAGGTGTGAACCACTGTGCCCGGCCAAAACTCATTATTTTCAAACAACATCGTTGTATGTGGAGACCTTCCTGGATTTTTAGATAACCTATTAAGGATTTAACCAAGTGATTAAATATGAATCAGCCACTAACAATTAGAAAATGGAAATGTTACTGATACCATTTACAATGGCCTCAAGAAACATCAAAATCTAAGAAAAGGCCTGGCGAGCGGTGTGCACCTGTAGTCCCAGCTTCTTGGGTGACTGAGATGGGAGGATCACTTGAGCTCAGGAGTTTGAGTCTAGCCTGGGCAACATAGCAAGACCTTGATCTTAAAAAACAATTCTAGGCAAAGAACTGACAAAAATGTTCAAGACTTCTACACTGAGAACTGTAAAATGTTATTATAAGAAATTAAAGAAGGAGGCTGGGTGCTGTGGTTCACGCCCCTGATCCCAGCACTTTGGGAGGCCGAGGCAGGTGGATCACTTGAGGTCAGGAGTTTGAGATCAGCCTGGCCAACATGGTGAAACCGCATCTCTACTATAAATGCAAAAATTAGCCAGGCGTGGTGGTGGGTGCCTGTAATCCCAGCTACTCAGGAGGCTGAGGCAGGAGAATTGCTTGAAACCTGGGAGACAGAGGTTGCAGTGAGCCGAGATGGCACCACTGCACTCCAGCCTGAGCGACAGAGCAAGACTCTGTCTCAAAAATATAAAGAAGGTCTAAATAAATGGGGGGAGACCACGTTCCCAGATTGGAAGACCCAATGCTGTAAAGGCGCTGGTTTCCCCTAATTGATCTATAGATTAAATGAATGCAGCCCCAATCAAAATCCCAGCAGGGTGGGTGTGTGTGTGCGTGTGTGTGAGTGTGTGTGTGTGTGTGTGAATTGACATACAAACCAATAGAAAAATGGGGGAAAAAATAGACTAGGCATTTCACAAAAGAGGATCCAAATGGCTATTAATTACATGAAAATGTCCCCTGTATTTGCATATATACAGAAATGCAACTTAAGACCACAGTAGGAGACTACTCCACCAGCAGGATTCAAACTAAAAAGGTTGACTACACAAAATGTGGGAAGGAGGTGGCGCAGTGAGACCTTCCTTGCGCTGCTGGTGGGGCATAGCCTATGTGCTGAACGTGGTTGCCCGGGAAGCACAGACTGTCAGCGCTCAAGTGATGAGAGCACGACACAGAGGAGTCATGGGCCCAAGTGTCTTGGTGAAGTTTTGCCACTTTTTCGCTTAGCTTTAGGAAGTTCTCTCTTTTGGCTACACAGCTGCGGTAAAATCTACAGTATGCCAAGGTCCAAGAGGCACGTGATGTGTCCTGTACATTTCTCTGAAACATAATAGTATTCGCATGTTCTGATTATAAACCTAACATGGATTGTTTGCATATTAGCAAATAGAGGAAATCACCAATGAAAGAGCAAGTTCGTGTTCTGTCTTTATGATGTTGCTATCTTTAGGTTAGTTTAGCCTACGCTTACGAAACCAAAGATGCCTTGTGCTTGGTGCTCACCATTATGAATGGAGGGGATTTGAAGTTTCACATTTACAACCTGGGTAATCCCGGCTTTGATGAGCAGAGAGCTGTTTTCTATGCTGCAGAGCTGTGTTGCGGCTTGGAAGATTTACAGAGGGAAAGAATTGTATACAGGTAAGAACGGTGCTACCTAATGGAGCCTGCAAGTCTTGGAGCCAGTTTCTCCCAGCCGTAGGCTTCCCTGGCTCACACTGGCCACTTCCAGGCTGAGCAGGAGAGTAGCAGGGAGCCCCTCGATGGTGATTTATAGGGGTGATCACTTACACTATTGGGAATATGGCCAGTCAGAAGACCCTGGGTGTTCTTTTGTTTTGTCTTTTGAGACAGAGTCTCACTCTGTCACCTAGGCTGGAGTGCAATGGCGCAATCTCGGCTCACTGCAGTTCAAGTGATTCTCCTGCCTCAGACTCCTGAGTAGCTGGGAGTACGGCACCCACCAGCCTGCCCAGATAATCTTTTGTATTTTTACTAGAGATGGGGTCTCACCCTGTTGGCCAGGCTGGTCTTGATCTCCTGACCTCAGGTGATCCGCGGGCCTCAGCCTCCCAAAGTGCTGGGATTACAGGCGTGAGCCACCGTGCCCAGCTTATGTTTCTAATAAATTGTCCTTTTGAAGTAGAAGTTTGTTTTTTACTTGTTAGGTTGATCAAACAAAGGTAGTGCTACTCATGTAACCATAAGAAGAGCCCGTTTCCAAGGTTCTTAGGTATTTTGATAGTTCTGATAAGGATGTATTATGTCCTGCCATATAACATAACGATTTAATGTCTTGAAGTAGTAGTTTCTTTTTTGCATCTTAGAATTTAGTAAAGAAAATTAAACTTAATAGTTTAGTGTAATCAATGCATTTAGTTTTAGGAAAACACAAAATCCCTTCCTATCCCTTAAATGCTGGAGTTCCTGGGCTCTGAGTCTCTTCTCAGTCACTCTCCCTGGGCAATTTCATTTCCTCCCTTCTGTGGGTTCATCTACCAGTTATAGTCGGTCTTCCACTGGGTTCCATGTTGTAGATTCAACCAGCTGTGAATCGAAAATAGTCAGAACATCCTGCTCAGCAGGGTGAAAAGGGGAAAAAAAAGAGAAAATATTCAGAAAAAAAGGATGGTTGCATCTGTATTGAACATGTAGACTTTTTTCTTGTCCCTATTCCCTAAACGATATAGTGTAATAACAATTTACATATTATTTACATTGTGTCTGGTAGTATGTGTAATCTAGAGGTGATTTAAAGTAATTGGGAGGATGTGTGTAGGTTATATGGAAATTCTACACCATTTTATATCAGGGACTTGAGGACCCTTGGATTTTGATATCCAAGGGAAGGGGGCCTGATGTGGGACCTGATGGTGTCTCCCTTGTCACCTTGCAAGCCTGGCCTTCATGGCCTTTGTGATGCAGCTCCCCACGGAGCCCTCCAGCCTTGGGTCCTGTTCCTCCCACACGGGCACCTCCTGCCCTTGTCATGCAAGAGTTTCAGCTGCTCAGGTGTCCTCACCTCACTGCACCTTTGCACAAGGTGTTCCTGTGTGGGTGCCACTCTCCACCCAGTCCCTCTTCCTGTCATTCTGAGAGACTCCTGCTCATCCGTCCAGAGTTAGCCCACATAGCACGAGGGTATGAGGGTGTGCCCCCTCTCCCACATCCTCCAGGTGCTGCCCATGTTGTCTGCTCAGATGGTCACGCCAGACAATGAGCTTCTTGGGAGTCCTTGATCTCACTTCTCCCTGTTCTGATGGACCTTTGGCTTCTCCTTATCTTCTATATCCCACAGCCAATATGGGATAAATATCTCTCAAGGATCAGAGACCAGGCTTGGCAGTGGGGCTGACACCTCTGTACCTTGAGCATTGAGCAAGGGGTGGATTGCTGCCCTGGCTGTGAGTCCTCTAGACACAGAGGTGGTCGCCTGAGTTGAGGAAGCCTTGTTGCCATTGCTTAGAGGTAAGAGTCTGGTGGTATTGGAGCATGGAACACACCCGTAGGAGATTGGATTCTTTTGTTACTCCTGGAGTAAATCACACTTCACAGGTGACTACGGCTGAGCTGCCGTGTTTGGCTTCAGTCTTAAGATGAGCTGGATTTTCTCATATAAGCTTTGGCTCCTCTAACCTCTGGTACCCACTTGCCTCACCCACCTGCACTCAGTGGGGGCTGCCCATGGCTGCCCCATCCACCGCTGTGTCCACAGGACTCACCATCAGTAGCTATTACCAGGCATTTGTTGAATGAATGACCGATGGCCCAAGTGACATTCCCACCTCAGCCCCCTGAGTAGCTGGGACTACAGGTACATGCCACCACACCCAGCTTGAGGCATTCTAATATGGGGAATTTTCAGTTTTTGAAACTCTTAAAAATATGTTAATGGTTAAGAGAAATTGAGCCACGTTCATTAAGGACTAGTTGCTTTCCTTACTACTGGGCTGCATATTTAATCACTGAAATGTCTTCAGATCTGTATAATTATGTAAAACAGTTCATTTTATACTGTCGTCATATGTGAGCTGTTTGCTGAGATGAATTTTGTAACATTCTTGTCCTGCCATGTGACAGCTAAAGACAGTTTCCATGGCTCATGAAGGGTGGTTTTGCTTTCTGCCATCCTGGCCCTTGCTCATGCTGGTTGTTCCCACTGGGTACTCCGGAATCACAGTGCCAGATTCTGAATCATTGAGCCTTCTGTTATTGTTTCTTTCCTTGTAGAGACTTAAAGCCTGAGAATATTCTCCTTGATGATCACGGTAAGTGGGCAAGCCTTTCCCATCTAACGGGTAGACTTTGTTAAGAGACTTGGATACAGAAAGTTGGATGCATAAAGTGGACTTAATAATTAATAGAGAATGGAAACAACAACAAAGAAAAACTCTGTGGTATGTGTTCATTTTAAAAAGATAAAATGCTGACAATTTGGTCACTTCCCTGTGTTTAGGCAAGAAGCAAAGCTGGTCATAATTTTCAAGTAATGATTGAGTTCAGAAGCCTTTTTTTTTTTTTTTTTTTTTGAGACAGAGTCTTGCTATGTTGCCCAGGCTGGAGTGCAGTGGTGTAATCATAGCTCACTGCAGCCTTGAACTGCTGGGAACAAGCAATCCTGCCACCTCAGCTTTCTGCAGAGCTGGGACTACAGGTGTGCACCACCATGTTTTGTAGAGATAGGGGTCATGCTATGTTGTCCAGGCTGTTCTCAAACTACTGTCCTCAAGCAATCCTCCTGCCTTGCCTCCCAAAGCACTAGGATTATAGGCATGAGCCACTGTGCCCTGCCTAGAAGCATACTAAAGTAAACACAAAGTCAGAACATTTTCTCTCTCTTGTTTCTTGCTGTTGACCCACCTCTTGCTTTATTCCTTTTTTATTTCCATTCCCCTCTAAACTTTGTCATGCTGCCCCTGGTGCTGTCCTCGTGTCCCATAGCATGTGTCACAGAGCAGGGTGCAGATGGCTGCTTGGAGACCCTGCAATAGTGGAGAGGGAGTGGCCCTTTTCAGCAGGCTCCTTGTCAGCAGCATGGGTGCGCACTCCACCTTGGTTCCTCTAAGGGACAGTCATACCCAGAATGCAAGGATGGTTGGACTGCTGGGGTGCGTGCTTGTGCTCACACATAGCTCGCAAGCAGTGCTGGGAGAGAGCTTCTTTCAAGTAAGTTTTCTTGGCAAAGAAGGGTCTTACAGTCTAGTAGAGCGCATATGGCAGGGTCATAGTGGCTCCTGCCAAGAAGAGGACAGGCGTCTCATGCGGAGACTGAGGGCAGTTGCAGGGGACTTGGAATGCTAGTCTCCTTTTACACCTCTGCCAGATGCTTTCATGCTTATCTAATTCATGTATGACACCCCGCCCTGTGAGGAAGGAGGGTACTGGAATTCTCATTTTACTGAAGGCAATACCAAGATTTAGGAATCAAACTTGTCCAAGATTGTGTCTGTAGCTCCTGGCTTAGCCTGTGGTTCATTCCTGGTGGGGTGCTGCTAACCAGAGGTGACTTGAGTGGGGCGAGCGCTAAGCAAAGCTGCTCACTTATTAAGTTGTTAAGTGACTTAACAAGGGTAGGTAGAACATGCTTTGAATGTAAAATGGAGCGATCTCCAAGCTATGTGGTTGATTGGAACAGGGTGCGGTGCAGAGCGTGTGTGTAGTGTGCTCCCTTTTGTGTAAACAAAGCACGGAATTGTGTGTATGTGTGATTGCTCAGAAACATAAACAAATATAAAGGGAGAATCATAAGAAACGGTCAGAAGTGAAAACAAGGCAGGGGAGCACAATGATAACCTTTTTCTGTGTTTTTAGGAGATTTTTCTGTGTAGCTCCCTCTTCTTTAGAACTTTACCCCACACATTTGAGGTGAGCTGTCCTTCCCCAGTGCTAACCCCTGCCTAGCTAACTTAGCAAGACCCCTGCTCTGCCCAGGTTCCCCTCCTGTGCCACTATCAGAAAGGCACTCCCGGGTGAGACGCCAGGATGGTTGCTGGGCCAGTTCACTGTCTCTTCTCTCGGGAACCACAGTCCTCTGATGTCGATGACCATAGTTTTCTTTTTTTTAAATTCTTTTTAGGGTCAGAGTCTCTCTATGCTACCCAGGCTGGGTGCGGTAGCTACTCACGGGTGTGACTGTGGCACAATTACAACCTCAAACTCCTGGGCCTAAGCGACCCTCCTGCCTCAGCCTCCCGAGTAGCTGGAGTTTCAGGCATGCACCACCACATCCAGCAGCGATTAAGGATATGTTAATTGTTATGGTGTGATCATGCCTCACTGCAGTTTTGACCTCCAGGGCTCTAGTGATCCACCTTGCCTCAGCCTCGTGAGTAGCTGGGAATACAGGCATGGGCCACCATATCTGGCTAATTAAAAAAAATTGATGGCTCATACCTGTAATCCTAGCACTTTGGGAGGCCAAGTCAGGTGGATCACTTGAGGTCAAGATTTCAAGACCAGCCTGGCCAACATGGTGAAACCCCATCTCTACTAAAAATACAAAAATTAGCCGGGCATGGCAGTGCACCTCTAATCCCAGCTACTCAGGAGGCTGAGGCAGGAGAATTGCTTGAACCCGGGAGGCAGAGGTTTCAGTGAGCCAAGATTGCGCCACTACACTCCAGCCTGGGTGATAGAATGAGACTCCATCTCAAAAAACAAATAAACAACAACAAAAACAAACAAAAAGTAAAAGATTTCTTTGCAATTATTTTAGTCATTAGCAAAAGTTATTTGGTTCTCGGGTTGTTCACTCAAATTAATTTAAAGTCACTCAGAGGCTGGGCACAGTGGCTCATGCCTGTAATCCCAGTATTTTGGGAGGCAAAGGAGGGTGGATCACCTGAGGTCAGGAGGTCAAGACCAGCCTGGCCAACATGGTGAAACCCTGTCTCTATTAAAAATACAAAAATTAGGCAGGCGTGGTAGTGCATGCCTGTAGTCCCAGCTACTTGAGGGGCTGAGGCAGGAGAAACGCTTGAACCTGGGAGGTGGAGGTTGCAGTGAGCTGAAATCATGCCATTGCACTCCAGCCTGGGTGACAGAGTGAGACTCTGTCTCAAAAAAAAAAAAAAAAAAAAGTCACTCAGTATCATTCCCTTCTATGTGGTTAAACCACCAGCTGGATACACCATTAGGTTCGTTTTCTTAATTTTGCTTTCAATTTTTAGCAATTTAATTTTTTAATGTTATAATTATGTAAAACATTTATGTGGTTCCAAAGATAAAACCACAAAATAGAATGTATTGAGAGATGTCTAGATTCCATCGCTCCATCCCTGACCACCCCCAAGTAATTATTTTAACTCATATTTTATTCCTTCATTTACATATGGTATATGTATAGACATACACATATTCTATATAAACAAGTTCCCCACTTGTTTCTTAAATAAAGTGGTAGACCACACGTATTGTCCTCCACTTGGCTATTTCACTGAATATGTGGCAAAGATGGCTCTGCAACACTCGTGAAGCGCTTCCGCCATCTGCTGTGCCTCCTGCAGGCGCACCTGTCCTGTTTGCACGGCCCTTGCTGGTGGGCGTGTCATCTCCACTCGTGCTGTTTCCATTAGTGCCGCGATGGAGAGCCTTGTGCACATGTTATTTCCTAGTTTGTTGAATGTATCCTTGATAGCGGCCTAGATGTGGGTGAATTCATATGCAATTTGCCAGATATTGCCAGATTCCCCTCCAGGGTGTTGTCCCGTCTGCATTCCCACCAGCAGTGCCCAAGAGCACCTGTTTCCGCACAGCCTCGCCAGCAGACCGAGTTCTCGAACTTTGGAGCTTTTGTCTGTTAGCCGGGAATTGGTATTTCAATGTAGTTTTAAGTTGCATTTCTCAGTTTAAAAATCCATTTTTATAAGAAAAATAAGTCAATGATGCCAAAAAATAAAAAAAAAGTCACAACATGCTAGCACTCTACTTAAATGAAAAATACATGAAAGCTGGCCAGGCACAGTGTCACATGCCTGTAATCCCAGCACTTTGGGAGGCCAGGGTGGGAGGATCACTTGAGCCCAGGAGTTCAAGACCAGCCTGGGCAACATGACCAAACCCTGTCTCTACAAAAAAAAAAAAAAAAAAAAAAAAAAAAGAAAAGAAAATGAAGTCTGGATTATTGAAAGAATGCAGCTGTACGAGGGGAGGAAACTGAGACGTGATAGTAAATGGCAGAGCCAGGACTCAGACCCACTCCATCTGGCTACAGGATCTGTGCTCCTCACCCCTGTACTCTCCCACCTCCCAGGGTGGGCACGCAGCAAGGGCAGGGGGTGGTGTATTATGTGCGTGCAGCCGAGTCAGAGGCCGGCTTTCCTCTCTAAAGCATCATGTAGACTGTTTTAAAATGACTACAGTGCCTTGGAGGGCATGTTGCATATTTTTAGTTTTTAGCAAACATTTATTGGTTGTTCATTCATTTTGCCAGTAAATATTTATTGAGCACCTACTCTAGGCCTGGGTACTATATTAGAAGCTGAGGATAAGTGGTAGATAAGTTGAAGATAGTGTCCGCTTCCAGGGCTGGCTTATTTTTCTACACACTCAGCAGAATGTTTTCGATAATTTCTTACTTTCTTTACAGTTTTTTTGAGACAGGTTCTCTCTCTTGCCCTGCAGTAGTGTGATCATGACTCACTGCAACCTCGCCCTTCCGGACTCAAGCAATCCTCCTGCCTCAGCCTCCAGAGTAGATGGGACCATAGCCATGTGCCATCACACCCAGCGAATTTTTAAAAACATCTTTTTTTTGTAGAGACAGGATCTTGTCATGTTTCCCAGGCTGGTCTCAAAATCTGGGACCCAAGTAATCCTCCCACCTTGGCCTCCCAAAGTGCTGGAATTACAGATGTGAGCCACCATGTCTGGCCTAATTTGTTAGTTCCATAGGAATTCAACAAATATTTAAATCCTCCTATATACAAGGCATTAACACATAATATAGTTCCCTAAGTACCTTAATTTTGTTTGTTATTTCCCCGACTCTATTACCATTTGTTCTCAAGAGAAAAACTCCGTATCATTCATGCATAGCTGTCCCTGTATATAGTACTGGTACTCTGACAAAGTGTTTATATAATATTAATTATATTTTTATTGATATATCTGAAAGTTGTATGACATAAAATAATAAATCCAGTGTTTCTGTCTTGTCAAGGGTTTGTCTGTGATTAAAGAGCTTCCTAATCAATAGCCAGGCAAAAATCAAATTTTCCTGCTACTAGTGAAACTGAATGCACTGTATGGAATTTTACTAAACATGAAAAAAGTTAAATAACATTTTATATTTACTGTTCCAGAGTATGAAATACTATTATTTCCATCCATGGTTTCTGAGGGGCCTTTTTTCCCGTTTTAATTGTTGTTAAAGTATCACCACTGCCCCCGTGACCTGTGTAATAACATATTTGAACACACAGGACACATCCGGATTTCAGACCTCGGTTTGGCCATGGAGATCCCAGAAGGGCAGATGGCTCGAGGAAGAGTTGGAACAGTCGGCTACATGGGTTCGTGAGAGGCTTTCAGCATCCTTGTCCTTTCTCTCCGGGTGCCCGAGTGCCTCAGAACACAGAGAAAGCCACCCTGAGGGGACCAGGGCCTCGGTTTGGGCACTAGTAGATGCCACAGTGGTGTTTTGAATCTAACCTGTCAGAGTGTTGAGGCTGCTGGGGATCCTGTAGGCTGCCCTCACCTTCTTACAGATGAGGGGTGAGGCCCGAGAGGTTGTGAGTCCTGAGGTCACTCAGCAAACAAAGTGAGGGCAGAATCGAGATGACACCGCAGGTCTCCTCACTCTGCCAATGTCCTCCTCTGTGCATGACGGCCTCTCAGAGCCTCAGGAAATCACCCCACTCTGGTTATTCCAAAGATCCAGGGGCAGTGCCAGCCAACCCCCAGGGGTGGCCTCTGAGGGTCTCGCAGAGTCCTGCAGGAAGACCCCAAGGTCTTGTGGCTTTCTGCTCCTGCGTCTTCTGGGATTTTTCACTGACTTGGGATAGATGGCAAAACAGGACACTTGGGGCGCTCTGGGCATGGCTCTGTGTGTCTGGAGGGAGCCCCTTCAGGAGGTGGAGCCTTCCCTGGACCACCATTTCCCTTGTGAATGTGACTCCGTGGCAATTCAGCTCATCCTGGATGAATCATACAAATGTTTAAAAATATTAGTTTTATTGGGATATAATTCATATGTCATAAAGTCCATCAGTTTGAAGTGTGTAATACAACAGATTTTAGTATTTTCACAGAGCCATGCAACCATGACCACTATCTAATTTCAGAACTTTTTTTTTTTATTTTGAGACGGAGTCTCACTCTGTCGCCTAGGCTAGAGTGCAGTGGCACGATCTTGGCTCACTGCAATGTCCACCTCCCAGGCACAAGCGATTCTCCTGCCTCAGCTTCCTGAGTATCTGGGACTACAGGTGCCTGCCGCCACACCCAGCTAATTTTTGTATTTTTAGTAGAGACGGGTTTTACCATGTTGTCCAGGCTGGTCTCGAACTCCTGACCTCAGGTGACCTGCCTGCCTCGACCTCCCAAAATGCTAGGATTATAGGTATGAGCCACCGGGCACAGCCTTAACATAATGTTTTTAAGGTTTGTCCATGTTGTCACACACGTTGAATGTATACTGTATTATTGGAAAATATAAGAAAATTTAAAATCAAAATTTAACTTAATTTCCATTTCCTGTATTTGTTATGTAGCACCTGAAGTTGTCAATAATGAAAAGTATACGTTTAGTCCCGATTGGTGGGGACTTGGCTGTCTGATCTATGAAATGATTCAGGGACATTCTCCATTCAAAAAATACAAAGAAAAAGTCAAACGGGAGGAGATCGATCAAAGAATCAAGAATGATACTGAGGAGTATTCCGAGAAGTTTTCAGAGGATGCCAAATCTATCTGCAGGATGGTAGGTCAGGCTCTGTAGAGGCTGGGAAATGGCACTTCTCATTCTAGTTGTTTTCACTGGCAGCTATAACAACAAGTGTTGGTCTGTCATCTTCAGCAAACCCTGGCCACCCACCTCCCAGGCCCTGCCCCTGCCCCCGCCCCCACGGCCCAGCAGGGAGGACATGCGTGCTCAGGAGGCTCACATCAACTGTCTCCTGGCCCAGCAGGCAGGACACGCGTGCTCAGGAGGCTCACATCAACTGTCTCCTGGCCCAGCAGGCAGGACACATGTGTTCAGGAGGCTCACGTCTACTGTCTCCTGGCCCAGCAGGCAGGACATGTGTGCTCAGGAGGCTCACGTGTGCCTGCCTCCTTCCCCATGCTCCTGCCACTGGGATTTCATCAGACAAAAAGGGCCAGCGAAAAAAGTTTCCAGACATGATCTGGAAATGACTTAATTGGGTTTCAATTAGAGCAAAACAGAGTAAAATTCGTGGTTTGATTTCTCAAACGATGCTATTGAAAGAGAAGAGTGGTACCAAGGCTATTAATTCAGCTTTCAGAAAACAGCCGAGCCTTGTTTCATTGACCAATTTTATATGAAGTTAGACATAAAACCAATCTTTCTTTTTTTTTTTTTTTTTTTTGAGACGGAGTCTCGCTGTGTCGCCCAGGCTGGAGTGCAGTGGCCGGATCTCGGTTCACTGCAAGCTCCGCCTCCCGGGTTTGCGCCATTCTCCTGCCTCAGCCTCCCGAGTAGCTGGGACTACAGGCGCCCGCCACCTCGCCCGGCTAGTTTTTTGTATTTTTTAGTAGAGACGGGGTTTCACTGTGTTAGCCAGGATGGTCTCGATCTCCTGACCTCATGATCCGCCCGTCTCGGCCTCCCAAAGTGCTGGGATTACAGGCTTGAGCCACCGCGCCCGGCCTAAAACCAATCTTTCATGTAATTTGAGATGGTAAGGGTTTAGCCACCTGCCAGTGATTGTAGTCCCGGAGACACCCTGACCTGAGGGCCAGTGATTGTAGTCCCAGAGACACCCTGACCTGAGGGCCAGTGATTGTAGTCCCGGAGACACCCTGACCTGAGGGCCTGCTGTGTACCTGGCTCTGGGCCTGGTGCTAGACGGACAATTCCCTTAATTGTGCTAAGGGCCTCTGAGGCTGACAGTGGCACCTGCGAGTCACAGGAAGGAGATGAGCCCTAAGCAGTGGAGACCCGGCCCCTGGTCCCAGAATGAGCAAGGGGCTGTCAGGGTCCATCTGCCTCTGGGACCAGACTGTGTTACCAACCCTCACTGCCCAGACTCTCAATCAGTGAGGGAAACTCTGTTACTTATTTCAAACCAGTATTTTTTTAGCACATTTTTTTTTTCATTTATTTTCATTCAACGAGGATTTATTGAGCATCTTGTACTCTCCAGACACTATCCTAGGCATTGGGGAAAACAGCAGCAAGTAAAACAGAAGGCCCCGCCCTCCCAGTGAGAACTGACAGGAAACAGAAGTCCCCGCCCTCCCAGCGAGAACTGACAGGAAACAGAACAAATGCATAGACATGTGGGCTGTGGGGAGGACCGCACTCTGGAGGACAGGGAACTGCCTGGAGGGGCGGCAGGCTCTGGGGGAGAAAGGGAGTCGGCCTGCTGGACAGAGCAGGCCGCTGGCAAGAACAGGAGGGGGGTTAGAGGGGTCAGGACAGAGAGCGGCAAGCCCAGGCCATGCAGAACCACCTGTCACCTGTCATTGTCATCATTGTCAAGCCTTAAGTGTTGCTTCCTCTGATGGCCATGAAGCCATCACAGGGCTCTGTGAAGAGTAATGTGATGGGACCAGGCTTGCTGGCCGCTGGGAGAAAATGAATGGACAGGAAGGAGGAAGGCCATTGGGGGCTTTGCAGCTATTCAGGTGAGAATAAAGGTGACACAGACCTCGGTGGTGGCAGAGCAGGTGTGAGAAGTGATGGCAGATGACCACTGTCAGATTCAGGATGGATCCTGAAGGCAGGTGGTGGAGAAGACTTTGGGCTGACCCCAAGGTGGGCTGGAGGGAAGGGGGTACTCACTAGAGCCAAGTCCTTGCGATGGGGAGGACAGCAGCCCGCGCACAGGGAGCGTGTGGACAGTTCCTCCAGCGACCGGAGAGGAGGCAGAGTCTGTGGCCAGCGCAGCACAGCTGGGGAGACGTGAGTGGGGCTGTGAATAGTCTCTTAACAGAGCTGCTTTTTCTCAGATGGTCAGCCCAGTGGGGAGCAAAGGTGGGAGGCGGGTGTGAGGAGAGGAGAGGCTTGAAGCCCTGGAAAGCAGGGTTTTCCTCAACAGCATCAAGAGCCATGTGGACCTGAAGGGAGGGGAGCAGCTGTGGTTGTGTGCTGGGCTCCTGCCACACCTGGATGGCGCAGGCTCAGAGCCAGCAGGGAGCTGCACTCACCCAGCTCTGGTTTGGTCCAGCAGCTAGAGAGAGGCCCGGGAGCTGGGCTGCATGCGGAGGAGTGACTAGAGACAGACCACGGGCTTGACGCTGGCTCCAGTGGACGAGGAAAGGGGCACAGGGAACAGCAGGTTCAACAGAGGATGGGCCAAGCGCAGTCCAAGCTGGGAGTCCAGGCCCCACCAGGCCAGAGTTAGAAAGATTAGAGGGATGCTTAGAGAGGAAGCTGCTTGGAGTGGAGCTGACGCAGGGAGCTCACGGAGGGAGCTCTTGCTGGCCAAGAGTCTGGAGTGTGACTGGCAGAGAGTGGCTGGGGGTCACTGCGGGGATGGAGGATAAGGTCACTGGAGAAGAGAAGGCCACAGGACCAAGCAGCCAGGCATAGGCCCCTGCCTGGGTGTGGGCATTCCTAGCAGCCGTGCCTGGTAACTGACGTGGGCTGGCAGTGGCTGGAGAGGAATTATTCTGATGTCCTTTTCCTGTGTTTCCATATATGAAGCCATGGGCGCTACAGGCTCGTCCCGGAGCCAGGGGTCACCCTGGAGTTCTCCCGGCTAGCTCACTCTGCTTAGAGCTGACTATTAAATAATGGAGTCTTCTCACGACACTGACAGGGCTGCAAGAATGGATAAATATGTACTAGAAATGGAATCTGCCCTTAAGAGCTCACAGTTTAATGTTAGGCCTAAAACAAACAGAAATGACTGCTGTGAAAAAGCAGAATGGGCCGGGCGCGGTGGCTCACGCCTGTAATCCCAGCACTTTGGGAGGCCGAGGCGGGTGGATCACGAGGTCAGGAGATAGAGACCATCCTGGCTAACATGGTGAAACCCTGTCTCTACTAAAAATACAAAAATACAAAAATAAAAAATTAGCCGGGCACAGTGGTGGGCGCCCGTAGTCCCAGCTACACGGGAGGCTGAGGCAGGAGAATGGCATGAACCCGGGAGGCGGAGCTTGCAGTGAGCTGAGATCGTGCCACTGTACTCCAGCCTGGAAGACAGAGTGAGACTCTGTCCAAAAAAAAAAAAAAATGGGTTCTGTGGGTTAATGACGTCACACAGCAATTGCTGGCAGCTGGACCTGAGCCCAGCTTTTGGACCAAGCCCCTCTCCTCTGCTCTGTGCTGCCTGATCAGGCCATCTGTCTTAGTCCCTTCGGGCTGCTATGACAGAATCCCTTAGACTGAATAATTTATCAACAGCAGGAGTTTATTTTCTCAGTCAGGAGGCTGGAAGTCCTAGACCAAGATGCCTGCAGATTGGGTCTTGGTGAGGACTGCTCTTTGCTTCAAAGATGGAGCCTTGGCTGGACATGCTGGCTCATACCTGTAATCTTAGCACTTTGGGAGGCTGAGGTGGGAGGATCACTTGAGCCAAGGAGCTCGAGACCAGCCTGGTAACACAGTGAGACACCGTCTATATTTAAAAAAAAAAAAAAAAGAAAGAAAGAAAAAGAAAGATGGAGTCTTCTGACTGCACCCTCACAGGGCAGAGGACAAACCAGCTCCCTGGGGCCCCTTTTCTAATGGCAGGAATCCCATTCAAGAGGGCAGAGCCTTTATGACCTCACCACCACCAAAAGGTCCCACCTGTCAATACTGTTGCATTGGGGATTAAGTTTCAGCTTACAGATTTGTGGGGGACACACACATTCAGACCATCGTGGCCCTCAATGGGAGTGGAGTATGCTGGCAGCAAGCTCAAATCATGGGGCTGTGGAGTCCCTGAGATGCAGAAATGGTGTTTGCATTACAGTTAATTTTCAGATCTGTTTTATTTATGTATTTATTGTTGTTTCTTTGAGACGAATTCTCAAGAAACAGATCTGGCCCAGGTTGGAGTGCAGTGGTGTGACCTCAGCTCACTGCAACATCCGCCTCCCGGGTTCCCACCATTCTCCTGCCTCAGCCTCTCGAGTTGCTGGGACTACAGGCACGTGCCACCACGCCTGGCTAATTTTTGTATTTTTAGTAGACTTGGGGTTTCACCATGTTGGCCAGGATGGTCTTGATCTCCTGACCTCATGATCCACCTGCGTCGGCCTCCCAAAGTGCTGGGATTACAGGCGTGAGCCACCGCACCCAGCCTTCAGATCTCTCTTAAGTCAACAAAGCATGCAAAGAACAAACGCACTGAGCAACTGTTACTGAGCGCCTGCTCTGGCTAGATGCTGGGGAATCACAGTGGGCAAGAGTCACACAGCCCCAGCTTCAGGAAGCTTTGAGTCTAGCAGGACAGCCTGGTAATAATGGTATATTCAAATGACTCATTCTCAGCATGAAATATTTGTCATCAAGGAGAGGTGGAGGATGCCCTCAGGCTGTAGCAAAAAAAGTTGGGGAGCCTAATTTAGTGCAGGGAAGAGGGCTAGAAAGCTAAAACCTGAAGAATTGAGCAGGAGTCAGAGAGCCAAAGAGCTTTGTAGACACAGCCCTGGAGCAGGCACAGCCCAGCAAGGAGCTGAGAGGTGGGAGACAGAAGCACAGACCAGAATGCTTTCTGGTCTTTGGGACTTTGAGTTGGCCAGGGATCGGCATACTTTTCTGTAAGGCCAGATGGTAAATAGCGTTTAGACTTTGCAGGTCTCTATTACAGCCATTCAGCTCTGCCAATACAGTGCCAAAGGCTGGTGCCGATAAAGCCTTGTTTACAAAACCAGGCAGCTGGTGCCTGTGGTGGCTGGACTGTGGTTTCCCAAGCCTGGGTCTAGGTCACATTTCAGGGGTTCAGGTCTTTCATATGTTGCTTCTGAGCACAGCCCTGCTTTTTCTGATTGATAAGAATTGTGGAGGAAGGCTTATTTGACTTTGCGATGATTGTAAACATGTATGTAAGGAATACTTTCTAAAGAGATACTTTCTGGTCATTTTAAGAATACACTAGAATACCAAAGTATTAAGCATATATTTTTAGAACTCGGTTTGCTCAATGTTTGCCTCATCTGAGGTCCCTAGTGGTATTTCTGAAATTCACAACAGTTTCTGTTTCCTCTAAAAATCCCCCAATTTTTTTTTTTTTTTTTTTTTTTTTTTTTTTTTTTTTTTTTTTTTTTTGAGACGGAGTCTCGCTCTGTCGCCCAGGCTGGAGTGCAGTGGCCAGATCTCAGCTCACTGCAAGCTCCGCCTCCTGGGTTTACGCCATTCTCCTGCCTCAGCCTCCCGAGTAGCTGGGACTACAGGCGTCCGCCACCTCACCCGGCTAGTTTTTTGTATTTTTTAGTAGAGACGGGGTTTCACCGTGTTAGCCAGGATGGTCTCGATCTCCTGACCTCGTGATCCGCCTGTCTCGGCCTCCCAAAGTGCTGGGATTACAGGCTTGAGCCACCGTGCCTGGCCCCCAAATTTTTATGATTAATTTTTTAAGCTTAAAGAATAACATAGCCAACCCCTTATTTATTGATAGCTCAAAGGCAAAACCTTAGCCCCCTTCCTCTGTGAAGCATCACATAATTTAATGAGTAAAGTCTGAGTTCCTGAGGTTTGGTTGATGCTTTGAAATTATTTGTTAGCTGCACCTGCTTTCTGCCCTCCCGAGTCCTTTGGTTATTATTATGGAGGGGAGTTCTGAGTTTTCATTTTTATTGAGAGGCTTAAGTGGATTCTATTTCTGCCTCTTGCAGTTACTCACCAAGAATCCAAGCAAGCGGCTGGGCTGCAGGGGCGAGGGAGCGGCTGGGGTGAAGCAGCACCCCGTGTTCAAGAACATCAACTTCAGGAGGCTGGAGGCAAACATGTTGGAGCCCCCTTTCTGTCCTGATGTAAGTGCATTGCCAGGACAAGCAGGGCCCTGGGAACAGTGATCCACACTGCACGGGTTTTCTCTTTCTTTTTTTAAAAACAGCAATGGGGGAGCTCACTGTGTTGCCCAGGCTGGTCTTGCACCCTGGCCTCAAGTGGTCCTCCACCTTGGCCTCCCAGAGTGCTGAGATGATAGGTGTGAGCCACTGTGTCCAGCTGCAACCGTTTTTTGTTTTTTTGTTTTTGTTTTGTGTTACAACAGATACAGAATCACCAGGCACAGCCAGCGTGTGGCTTTTGCTCATGGTGCCTATCCTACCTGGTGGTTCTTCTGTCACCCCAGTGTCCTTTGGCCACTCACTGGGCCCCTCACAGGCCTCAGCGGTGCTCTGGCTCCCTGCCTGGTGTCACTTTCAGCCTCAGTGCTGGTGGAGCCCCCTAAGTAGCTGAGATCACAGGCACACGACACCCAGCTCATTTTTAATTTTTTCCTAGAGACGGGGGTCTCCCTATGTTGCCCAGGCTACTTTTGAACTGCTGGCCCCAACCGGTCCCCCTGCCTTGACCTCCCAAAATGCTGGGATTACAGGCATGAGCCACCATGCCTGGCCACCCGTGTCCCCTTTCTGGTCTCAGGGCTGGCTTTCTCTCTCGTTCCTGTGTTTCCCACGGCCGTGAGCCGCCCCTGCTTCCTTTGTCTGGAACGCGTATCCCCACTCTGCTTCTCATGAGGTCCTGGGACTGTGGCCTGGCCCCATACTGAGGACCCTGAAGTGGTCACTGTACCTCCTTGTGAGCGTGCTGTTGGGACACCTTCCTCTGGACTGTCCCCTAGGGGCAGGGCCTGCCAGTGTCCTTCCACCTCCCCACCCTGAGGGGATGAATGAGTGAAGAGCAGCTGCTCTAACAGCAGTGCTGACCGTGGCCTTTGGAGCGTCACTGCTTTACTGTAGTGCACAAGTCCTGGGTGAAGAGTGTTCTCAGAACTGCAGGTGCCTCCAGCATGAGCAGATGAGGGCCCCACAGCTGCCGACTTCCGTGCTTTTTGTTCCTTTGCCCTGAAAGTGCAAACAACGGTACTGGCGGCAGGTGGAGACCTGGGCCTTGGCACTCCCTCCTGCCTGCCTGACCCTTTGTCTCTGAGGATAGCAGTGCCAGGATAGGAGCTGCAGGCCTGGGCTCCTGTCCCAGAGGAGGGACCTGCTGACCCAGGGAGCTGAGCCTCTTGCAGCCTTGGAGACCACTCGATGGACCCGGAGGAGGGCGGGAAGTGGGAGCTGCTGCTGTTCCTCAGGTTTTCTCCAGGCGCTTTGCAGGGAGCGCACCTAGAGTTGGAGGCAGGTGCAAGAATTGTCACTAAGGGATCCCACTGCTGGTGGCCTGTATCCCTGCTCACACTTCTCTGGTTCTGGTATGCATCTTCTAATATTTGCCCTGCATCCTTGGCCTTTGTTTGCAATCCATTTTCCACTACGGAAAAGAGAACGGCATGGCCCTCAGAAGGCGTGTGTGTGTGTGTGTGTGTGTGTGTGTGTGTGTGTGTGTGTGTGAGAGAGAGAGAGAGAGAGAGAGGGAGAGAGCCAGAACACCTGATACAGTACCCACAAGATTGGTGACACTAAAAGCTGGCGAACCACCTCTCCAGAGGACACATTCTCTGATTTAGAAAATGCCTCAAGTGAGGGAGGGGCCTGGCAAAGAAATGGAGAGAGGAAGAATGGCGGTGTTTATGCGTCAGTTTGCTGGGCGTTTCGTTCCTGGGAACTCAGGGAGCTGAGAATTGCTGTAGTGACCTCAGAGGCTGCCTCTGTTCTTGCTGTACAGCCTCATGCCGTTTACTGTAAGGATGTCCTGGATATCGAGCAGTTCTCGGCAGTGAAAGGGATCTACCTGGACACCGCAGATGAAGACTTCTACGCTCAGTTTGCTACAGGGTGTGTCTCCATCCCCTGGCAGAATGAGGTACTGCCCTTGTAGCACAGCAGCTTTACGTTAGTTCCAGCAATGACCCAGGAAAAGGGTGTGTGTGTGTGTGTGTGTGTGTGTGTGTATTTGGGAGATAAAATTATACAAGACGGCTGGGCACGGTGGCTCACGCCTGTAATCCCAGCACTTTGGGAGGCTGAAGTGGGCGGATCACAAGGTCAGGAGATCAAAACCAGCCTGTCCAACAAAGTGAAACCCTGACTACTAAAACCATAAAAATTAGCCGGGCACAGTGGCAGGCGCCCGTAGTCCCAGCTGGTTGGGATGCTGAGGCAGGAGAATCGCTTGAATCTGGGAGGCAGAGGTTGCAGTGAGCCGAGATTGCGCCACTGCACTCCACCTTGGGTGACAGAATGAGACTTCGTCTCAAAAAAAAAAAAAAAAAAAAAAGATTGTATAAGACTTTTGACCACAGGACTAGACCATGGGCAAGCCAAGGACCATATCAGCAGCTGTCCAGAAGCATGGTATGTCCCTGGTCCCAGTGACAGGAAGTGGACAGGAGGTAGCTATTTTGGGTCTGATGGGCGCTTGCCTGCCACCCCTGAGCCCCGCTCCCTAAGCAGGGCTGACTGGCAGCCAGGGTTCCCATGGTAGTTCCCCACTTTGGGGGGTACACTGAGAGACAAGGGGAGAGGAGACCACGTTACTTATCCAAGAAGAAGTCAGGAAGCAGGGAAGGAGGAACCCAGGAAAGGGGCCCCACACGGGACTGGGTAGGAGCTGCTCCGCACGTGGCTGGGCAGAAGTTGCTGGCGCTGGGAGACCCACTGACCTGGAAGCTTCTCTGAGACTTCTCTGTCCTGCTCTTCTGTGCATGCAGATGATCGAATCTGGGTGTTTCAAAGACATCAACAAAAGTGAAAGGGAGAAAGCTTTGCCGTTGAATCTAGACAAGAGCATACATACCCCTGTTTCCAGACCAAACAGAGGCTTCTTCTATAGACTCTTCAGAAGAGGGGTAAAAACACTTAAAAACTAATATATGTATGTGTATGTGAAAAGAAAAACATACTGACTACCAAGGTGAAAACATCACACTTTTTCTGTTTGCAATGGCTCCTACAAGCAGTTTTATACAGTTTGAGAGCCATGTGGGGCTAGGTAGAGGCCAGCCAGAACAATGAGAACATCCTCGCAATGAGGTTTGTTGCTGTTGTGTATTTGGGAGATAAAATTATATAAGACGGCTGGGCGCAGTGACTCATGCCTGTAATCCCAGCACTTTGGGAGGCTGAAGTGGGTGGATCATGAGGTCGGGAGTTCAAGACCAGCCTGGCCAACAAAGTGAAACCCCAACTCTACTAAAAATACAAAAATTAGCCAGGCATGGTGGCAGGCACCTGTAGTCCCAGCTAGTCAGGATGCTGAGGCAGAGAATCGCTTGAACCTGGGAGGCGGAGGTTGCAGTGAGCCGAGATTGCATTGTTCTGATCCAAAACAGGATTACCTTCCAACGTTCACAAACAGGCTCCAATGTCGATAACAAAATATTTTACACTGGGCTCAGAAATCGGCATCCTGTGGAACCTTCTTCAGGTGGCACCCACGTGTGCATCTCTCCCTGCTCTGGCTCTTAGACTCTCACCTCCTTTACCCCCTGCATGGGGAAAGCGGATTCCTTTTTGAAAATGGCATCCTGGCCGGGCGCAGTGACTCACACCTGTAATCCCAGCACTTTGGGAGGCCGAGGCTGAGGTCAGGAGTTTGAGACCAGCCTGGCCAACATGGCGAAACCCCATTTCTACTAAAAATACAAAAATTAGCCAGGTGTGGTGGTGCATGCCTGTGGTCCCAGCTACTTGGGAGGCTGAGGCAAGAGAATCGCATGAACCTAGGAGGTGGAGGGTGCAGTGAGCCGAGGTCGTGCCACTGTTCTCCATCCTGGAGAACAGTGCAAGAGTCCATCTCAAAAAAAGAAAAAAAAAAAAAAACGAAAGAAAAATGGAATCCTTTGGAGAGACCTTTTGTAGTAGCATTAAATGTAGACAAGCCTTTTTTCCATGCAGTGTGTCTCCTTGGATTTGTGGACCATCCTACTTTGTACCCTGTGTGTTCCCAGGGGGTTTATTCAGAGCTCGGCCACTAACATTCTAATCCATCTTTCTTTCAGTATGAAAAATAGGCTGGGCGCGGTGGCTCACACCTGTAATCCCAGCACTTTGGGAGGCAGAGGAGGGTGGATCACCTGAGGTCAGGAGTTCAAGACCAACTTCGCCCACATGATGAAACCCCATCTCTACTAAAAATACAAAAATTAGCCAGGCATGGTGGCAGGTTCCTGTAATCCCAGCTACTTGGGAGTCTGAGGCAGGAGAATTGCTTGAACCCGGGAGGTGGAGGTTGTAGTGATCTGAAATTGTGCCATTGCGCTCCAGCCTGGGCGACAGAGCGAGACTGTGTCTCAAAAAATAAAAAAATTAAAAAAATTAGCACCCCCCCAAAAAGTTTGTAAATGGTTGTCTACACTTAAGGAAAGTGAAACCTTCGCATCAGCCGTGTGACTGAGGCCAGCGCTGTGTGTCGTAGGGCTGCCTGACCATGGTCCCCAGTGAGAAGGAAGTGGAACCCAAGCGATGCTGAGCATCCCCCTGCAGACCGCAGAGCAGACCCTGGCGCCAGGAAGGAGCAGGTGTGGGCGTCTCCTCCCAACTGGAATTGTAATAAATACATCTAAATAAAACGTGCCTTGGGAGTGTGCAGATCTTTCCACACTAATACCTGAGTTGTGTTTTCACTAAAGCTGGATTGAAGAAAAAGCCGCAAGTGTACCCCCTGAGGCCTCAGACACACCCAGGGGTGGGCGCCTTGCGTGCTGGGGTGCGAGCTTTCCCTGCACCCAGGGAGACGCCAGCCGGGGCTTGGGAATGGATGACGAGTCCACCAGCCCTGCACTGCCCTGTGCCACCCCCAGACTCGGTCTCAATACTCAGCCAGGGATGTGGTGGCCCAGGAAGAGACGGGGCGGCCGGGCCTCCCTTTCCCCAGGGCCTGGGTGTCAGACAGCCGGAGCCCGTTGGCATTTCCTGCATCTTCCGATGGCTATCCCGTTGCCTTGTGCCCCTCATTGAGATTCCTGAGGTTTGTGTGTGTGTGGCCAGTGTTTATTTTCTCCAAGCGTATCTATCTGCCCTTGAAAGGGGCGGCTCCCATGAGCCTGCAGTCAGGGCCTGGCGGCCAGGGCCCCAGCGTGCGCCTGGCATGCGGTGACAGCCTCCACCGTGGGAGTCCACGTCAGGGCTCCCGAGAGGCTGATGCTGTGTCAGGCATGAGCCCTCCTGGGCTTTAGTGGCGCTTAGGAATCTGGGAGCTTCCTGTGGAGGTTAAGGGTGCTGAAACTGCACAAGTTGATAACTCACAGCAGTGCCTGGTGACTCTCCTCTTCGGCTGGAGTGCTAACCCGCGGGGGAGACGTGGCAGCCGAGTGCTAACTGGGGGGAGATGTGGCAGCCAGAGTGCTAACCCGGGAGGGGCGGGAGACGTGGCAGCCGGAGCGCTAATTGGCGGGAGCCGTGGCAGCTGGAAGCGCTAATTGGCTGGAAACGTGGCAGCCGGAGCGCGAGTGGCGGGAGGCGTGGCGCCGGAGCGCTAATTGGCGGGAGCCGTGGCAGCCGGAGCGCTAATTGGCGGGAGAGCGTGGCAGCGAGGAGGCGCTAGTGGCGGGAGCCGTGGCAGCGGGCGCTAATTGGCCCGGGAGGCGTGGCAGCCGGGCGCTAACCCGGGGTGGGGGAGAGCCGTGGCAGCCGGACGCTAACCCGGGGTGGGGGAGAGCCGTGGCAACCGGAGCGCTAACCGAGGTGGGGGGAAACCGTGGCAGCCGGACGCTAACCTCGGCGGGGTGGGGGAGGCGTGGCAGCGTGGCAGCCGGAGTGCTAACCTGGGCGGGGGGAGACGTGGCAGCCGGAGTGCTAACCTGGGAGGGGGAGACGTGGCTTTGTGTGCTTGGCGAACCCCCACGCCGGGGCGTAGCGGAAGCGTGTGGACCAGCACTGAAGCCCCGTGGAGGCACCCGTGCGTGTGCGTGGGACGGGCATAAAGATTTTCCAGGGGTGACTTTGGAGCTGGGCGGGCAGCGAGCAGGAGGGACAGGGAAGGCTGAGGCCCCAGAGCTGGCTCTGCTGAGGGCCCTCGCTGAGCGGGTGATGGTGACGGCCTGGAAGCTACGTCCGCCCGGAACTCGGCCTTTCTCCTGAACCGTGCGTAGGGGGTTGGGCCGACCCGGCTCGGCTCTGGCTGGGGCTTCCGCAGAGCAGCGCAGCGTTTGACACGGTGAGGGCTGGTTCGGGGGAGCTGACGGGGACCCCAGCCGGGAGCCTTCACCTTCGCCCCTGTCCTTTCTCCACCGCCGTCATGGCTGCCTGGAGCCTGCAGCCGGGATCTTTGTGCTGCCTGCTGCGTGAGAAGTCAGGGGATAGGCCTCGGTGACTTGAAGACAAACAGCGACACCTCGGACAGCTAGCTGTGTGGAGGAGAGGAACCAGGGTGCCTGAGGGACAGAGCGCGCCCTGGGCCGCTTTCACGCGAGCAGCAGCGGCGGCCACGCTTCCAGGGGTTTCACCTGCATCGTGGTGTCAGGAAAATCAGCTTCCGCACGTGCCCACCGCCGGCTCCAGCAGGTGCACTGAGGCCAGTCCTGGGAGGAAAACACCAGCGAGGATGTCACCATGAGGTTGGGAGCCTTCTTTGTACCAGGGGAAGGGAAGGGGAAGTTATCTTGGGGACTTGGGGTCTTTATTCTTTGGGGGAATGGAAACAGCTTTGCTTTTCTTCTGATTGAGGCAAAACTCATTAAAGAGTAAGGCTTTTTGGAAGCGGGTCACCGCGGCTGGACTCTGGACCCCTCTCCTCTGTGCCTCACTGTCCTCAGCTGCAGAATGAAGATGGTAGGAGTCGATGCCCCCGGGATGCTGAGAGCAGGTTTCGAGTCTGTAAAGCATGTAGCATAGTGTCAAATGCATGGTCACCATTCAGTAACTATGCTAGTAATCATGGAAAAATAATACACGCTCATTGTAGGAAATACAGGAAAACCTGCAGGAAAAAAAATCACCGTTATTCCACTCCCGCCCCCATTTCCACTCTGAGTCCTTTGGAGAGTTCTTCCATCAGTGTAGACAAAGTCCACAGCAGATTGATAGTGTAGACGACTCTGCTGGGGCTGGGGACCTGGCTTCCTTGCCAGCCACAGGGCCTCTGTAAAGGCCTGCCTCGCGGGGTTGTCGAAGTTTAGGGACACCTGCCTGTCAGAGGCATTGGAACCAGAGCGAGTCCATCTTGAATGGGGGCTAGGTAAAATGAGGCTGAGGCCTGCTGGGCCGCATTCCCAGGAGGTTAGGCGTTCAGAGTCACAGGATGAGCTAGCAGGTGGGCACAAGATACAGGTCCCAAAGAGCTTGCTGATAAAACAGACTGTTTGAAAGAAGCCGGGGCCAGGCGCGGTGGCTCATGCCTGTAATCCCAGCACTTTGGGAGGCTGAGGTGGGTGGATCACTTGAGGCCAGGAGTTCGAGACCACCCTAGCCAAAATAGTGAACCCCGTCTCTAAATACAAATATTAGCCAGGTGTGGTGACAGACGCCTGTGGTCCCAGCTACTCGGGAGGCTGAGGCAGGAGAACCCGGGAGGCGGAGGCTGCAGTGAGCCGAGACCTGGGCAACAGAGCAAGACATCGTCTCAAAAAAAATAATAAAATAAAGAAGTAAGTAAAGAAGCCGGGAAACCCACCAAAACCAAGATGGCATGAGAGTGACCTCTGGTCATCCTCACAGCTCATTATATGCTAATTATAATGCATTAACATGCTAAAAGACACTCCCACCAGCACCATGACAGTTTACAGATGCAACTTTCAGATGTTGCGGTCTGAAAGTTACCCTATATGTTCTAAAAAGGGGTGGAACCCTCAGTTCTGGGAATCGCCCACCCTTTTCCCAGAAATCTCATGAATAATCCACCGCTTGTTTAGCATATAATCAAGAAATAACCGTAAAAATGGGCAGCCAGCAACCCTCGGGGCTGCTCTGCCCATGGAGTAGCCATTCTTTATTCCTTTACTTTCCTAGTAAACTTGCTTTCCCTTTATGGATTTGCCTCGAATTCTTTCTTGAGCGAGATCCAAGTACCCTCTTTTGGGTGCTTGTCCAGTAGCATTCCCTCCATCTTGCCTGCACAGAGCACATGGCTGAGGAGGAAGCCAGATGGGGAAGGACCAGCACTGCAGGGGCCAGGGCCGAGGGCATCGATCATATCCTGGGCTGGTGGCTATGGAAGTAATAAAGTCCTTTTTGTTTCTTTTTTACTTTTTTTGGCTTATGTTAGTCTGAGTTAAATTTCCCCATGCCCAAGTGAAAGCTTTGACTGAGAGAAATAGCAAACCTAGGCCAGGATTTGTACACGGACGGGTTGGTAACTTGTTCGATTAACATGTTAAGCATCTCATTTTTCTTTTTCTGTTTATAAACAAGCATATATGTATTGAAGAGAATTTTGAAATTAAGAAGAATAGTGCTCGCTTTGGCAGCAAATATACTAAAACTGGAATGATACAGAGAAGATTAGTATGGCCCCTGCACAAGGATGACACACAAATTTGTGAAGTGTTCCATACAAAAATATGTTTAAAAAAAAAACTACAAAATTTCATCTTTAATATTAACTGCCGTGCAAAGGCAATCCCTGTCGACATTTCGTTTGATATTTATATAACTAATACAGTAATTTGTTTCTTTCCATGTCATTTGGCTGCTTAATTTTGAAATTTTTTTTGAGAGTCTTGCTCTGTTGCCCAGGCTGGAGTGCAGTGGCATGATCTCAGCTCACTACAACCTGCATTCAAGTGATCCTCGTGCCTCAGCCTCCCGAGTAGCTGGGATTGCAGGCACCACCACCACACCGGCTAATTTTTTTTTTTTTTTTTTAGTAGAGATGGGGTTTCACCATGTTGACCAGGTTGGTCTCGAACTCCTGGCCTTAAGTAATCTGCCCATCTCAGCCTCCCAAAGGATTACAGGTGTGTGCCACTGTGCCTGGCCTGCTTAATCTTTCATTACTTATTTCAGTCATCCATGATATTGTGAAATTATATGGGGTTTTCATTCAGTCTTCTGGCATATATTTCCTTAAATCCTTGGAATCTTCGAAGTGATGAATGTCTTTTCTGTATGTTAATGAGGTGGTTGGTGGCTGGTGGCTCCTAGACAGTTTCAGGATAGGAGGAGTCACCAGAAAGAAGGAGGCAGGGTTAGAAGGTTGGGACTCAGCCCTACCCTTGACCTCTGGGAAGGGAGAGGGGCTGATGGTTAAGCTGATCACCAATGGCTAATGATTAAATCATGCCTATGTGATGAAGCCTCCGTAAAAACACAAAAGGACAGGGTTCAGAGAGCTTCTGAGTAACGTGGAGGTTCCTAGAGGGTAGCGCACCTCCATTCTATGGGGGTAAAAGCTCCTGTGCTTGGGACCCTTCCAGAACGCTCCCTATGCATCTTCTCATCTGGCTGTTCATCTGTATCCTGTAAAATATGCCTTGTAATAAACCAGTAAATGTGTTTCTCTGAGTTCTGTATGCTGATCTAGCAAATTAATTGAACCCAAGGAGGGGGCTGTGGGAGCCCCCAGTGTTTAGCCGGTCAGTCAGAATCACAGGCACAATAACCAGGGGCTTGCAGTCGGCATTGGAAGTGGGGTTCAGTCTTGTGGGAACTGAGTCCTCGATCTGTGTGATCAGACACTGTCTACAGGTAGATGCTGTCCGACTTGAATGGGAGGACACCCAGCTGGTGTCTGCTGCAGAACTGATTGCTTGCTTGTTGGTGGAGAGAAGTATTCTGTGTTGATTCTTGAATGAGATTACAGGAAAAGGACACTGTGCTTTTCCCGTAGATCCTCAGGGTGGCTAAATATACATATTGAATAAGCTGTAGGAGGAGTTATGAATATTTTGAGAGGAGCAACACACAGGTGTGCAATTAGCTGCATGCCTCTTCATGGGTCACGTGTTCAAAAAATGTTGGGGTTAGCGTGATGGGAGGGTGGAGTTTCCCTCCCTCTGACGTCAAAAGGTTAAGCAGAGGACACAGGAACCCTCACTGCACCTCCTCTGGAGACGGCCACAGTCGCTCCAGGGTCTGTGGTATCTTAACAGGAAGGGAAGCATTGTCCAGCCATGGCCTCAGATGACTGGCTAAAGGCGATGGAAGAATGAGTTGTCTGTTTCTTGTTTTCCAGAGCTGGTTTCTGTTTATTCTTTAGGAAGGCATTCCGGTTAAAGGTTATTAAGAAAGGGGCATACTGAGGCGAGTCTGACCTCCTGTCCTGTCACGGCCAGGAACTCAGTTTTTTTTTTTTTTTTTTTTTTTTTTTGAGACGGAGTCTTGCTCTGTAGCCCAGGCTGGAGTGCAGTGGCCGGATCTCAGCTCACTGCAAGCCCCGCCTCCCGGGTTTACGCCATTCTCCTGCCTCAGCCTCCCGAGTAGCTGGGACTACAGGCGCCTGCCACCTCGCCCGGCTAGTTTTTTGTACTTTTTAGTAGAGACGGGGTTTCACCGTGTTAGCCAGGATGGTCTCGATCTTCTGACCTCGTGATCCGCCCGTCTCGGCCTCCCAAAGTGCTGGGATTACAGGCTTGAGCCACCACGCCTGGCCAGGAACTCAGTTTTTAAGGTTTCTGTGGGGTCTGCTAGACCAAGAAGGGGTCGGTTCAATTGGCAGGGGTTTTAGGATTTTATTATGTATCTCACGGTAAAAGTAAACATCACGTTATAATTTTTTTTTAATCAAATAAAGCACAATATGCACTCAAAACAGTGTTTGAACATTTTAAAGAATACATATTTTATACCTCTGTTAAATGAAAAACTTCAGCCAGATTAAATTTAAATGAGTATAACTGAGCAATGAACGAGTCACGAATTGGGAAGCCCCCAGAATCACGGCAGATTCAGAGACTCCAGGGATGCCTCGTGGTCAGAACAAATTTATAGACAAAAAAAGGGAAGTGATGTGCAGAAATCGGAGGTGAGGTACAGAAACAGCTGGTTGGTTACAGCTTGGCATTTGCCTTGTTTGAACTCTCAGCAGTGAATGAGTGAAGTACGGCTGCTGCGATTGGCCAAGACTCAAGTACTGTTACAGGTGCAGACTCCTAAGTTAGGGTTTCAATGTTGTCTACCTATTAAGTTAGGTTGCAGTTCGTCCACATGGACTCAAATAGAGAAGTATGGAGTCCTTCTCAGGCCATATTTAATTTGCTTTAACAATTCCACCCTTTTAGTCATTTTCTCAATTTTGAGAGATTGACCAAGACTTTAGTCATTGATATCACTGTCACCATCATAAAGGTACTTATTTGGTTTTGAAACCCTCTGAGAAACAGTAGAACAGTGAGTTTTGCAAAGGTAGGAACAAGGACTGAGGGTACCTCCTTATGCTGGAACGTCCTGTTTATAGGAGAATGTGTTAGGATCTATGTGTCTCCTTAAAGTCTTAGTTTGATTATGTCACATTTAGCATGAGTGACTCCATTTTTGTTTGGCTTAGTCTGTTGGGACCTAGTGCATGAGCTCAGTCCTAAACAATGGCCTCCCATAATTTTATTTTAATAAATTCACTCTTTTTGTCCAGGTTCTCACTTAGGTGAGTGTGGGCAGCAAGCCACCCAGGTGCCAAGGCACGAGACCAAGGACACAATCTGTTCCAGTAAAATTAAAAAATATAGAGAGAATAAGAATAGTTATACTAGAAATACATTATAGATATGATTATATATGGATATTATTAATCATTACTTTGTAGCATTACTCTTTATTCCAATATTATAATAATCTTTTTTCTACAATTATAACCTAGGACAAACCAGGCCATACAGAGGTAGGAGCTGAAGGGACACAGTGAGAAGGGATCAGAACACAAGGGTGAGCCCTCTGTCACGCCTGGACAGGGCCACTAGAGGGAGCTCTGGTCTAGCGGTAACGCCGGTGCCTGGGAAGGCAACAGTTACTTAGCAGACCAGGAAAGGGAGTCTCCCTTTCCCCAGGGGGTTACAGAAGACTCTGCTCCACCACCTCTTGTGTAGGGCCTGACATCAGTCAAGCCCGTCCACAGCCATCTGGAGGCCTGAACGTCTCCCTGTGATGCCGTGCTTCAGCGGTCATGCTCCTGTTTCACTTTCATGTTCCGCTCTGTACACCCGGCTCCACCTTCTAGAGAGCCGAAGCAGAATTAGTGAAAGTACTAAAGTCTTTGAAATGCATAGAAGAAATAATGATGTAAGCTGTCCCCCCTCTCTCTCTGCCTCGGCTACCAAACAGGGAAGGGCCCCCTGTCCGGTGGACACGTGACTCGCGTGACCTTACCTATCACTGGAGATGGCTCACACTCCTTACCCTGCCCCCTTGCCTTGTATCCAGTAAATAACAGTGTGGCCAGGCATTTGGGGCCATTACCAGTCTCCGTGTCTAGGTGGTGGTGGTCCCCCGGGCCTGGCTGTCTTTTCTTCTATCTCTTTGTCTCGTGTCTTTATTTCTACAATCTCTCGTCTCCACACACGAGGAGAAAAACCCACAGGACCAGTAGGGCTGGACCCTACAGGTGAGAGTGTGACCAAAACTTATGGCCTTAGCACTACTCTCAGTTACCATGATTTTGTGTTTGTGGTCTCAACACGCATTCATAGGTTATGGTGTCCTCATGGTTACACAGTTCTTTCAGCTTGTGCCATTCCAGTTGAAGAGAGACCATTCGATGTTCTAGAGATGGCTGCATGCAGACATTTAAAACCTCTGAGAGAATGCAGGGCGCCAGGGAGACTATTATTATGACTACTGGGAGGATAATACCAAGAGTTTGCAGTATGCTCCTTACCCAGGGTCCTCATAAACCAAACCACCCACAATCAAATAAATCAAACAATGAGCTAGATAAAGAGGCTACTCGCTTAACTAAGTGGTCTTTTCATTAATCTCCTACAACTGAATCTCTATAATACTTGATGTATTTCTCCCTAGGCCACAGGTGCCAGCAGCTGCACAGGAACTTTTCTGTGTAGTCAATTCTATTATTTAGCATAACTTTCACAAGAGAATTGAAAGTCTGTTGTGCAACTATAGACTTTACAGTAGAATCTGCTATACAGCCTATCATGAGAGATACATTTCTGGTTATGGCCTCTTTACTCAAAAGCATGGAAAAAGGATGCCCTTCTAGAAGAGTGAAGCCCTCCTGGCAATGCCCTCTTTAACCCATGATGTGGGTTAACAGGAGTGAACCAGTGTTCCGTTTCTGCCTGATTTTACAGGCAACATATGTCCCATTAAAGTTTCTCACTTACACTGAGCCTTCATCTTTGATATATCAAAGTATAAGGTTATCCGTGTATAAGGCTGGCTGCAAAATCCTTCGCAAATGAAGGTATACCCCATAAGTGCACACACAAATGATCCTCTTTTCATTTCTATTATTCACAGAGGCATAAGCAAGCAACAAATATTCAAAGATAAGAGTCTCATGGCCAGGCATGCTGGCTCATGCCTGTCATCTCAACACTTTGGGAGGCCGAGGTGGGCGGATCACCTGAGGTCAGGAGTTCAAAACCAGCCTGGTCAACATGGTGAAA